TAAAAGCTAATGCGTCTTCTTTCACTAGCCATCGTAGCCCCAAGGTCTTTTCTTCCTTAGTCAGTTCTACGCAGTCTTCTTTATTCATATCTTCTACCTCGTTTAAGACGCTTGAATCATTGCTGGCCCAACCTTTGAGGTGAAAACTCGCCTTAGCATGAATTTCTTTCACTTCTTTTGATATCTTCTTCGCTTCGGCGGCCGATGAGAAGCTCTGAAGATAGTCATCCATATAATGGTTCCTTTTAATGGCCTTTACTGCTTCAGGATACGCGGTTATAAAGTCTTCTGCATTCTTGTTCATCACGTATATAGCGGTGGCTGGTGACGATGCTGCTCCAAAGATAATTGACGACATTCTGTACTCTTCAGGCTTCCCTGTTCTTTTTCTTCCACGCCACAGAAACCTTAGGCTGTCTCGATCGTCGTCCTTTACTTTTACGCGGAGGAACATGTCCTGAATGTCGGCCATGATAGCTATTGGACCTTCTCTGAAACGTAGAAGTACCCCAAGTAATGACTGCAGCAAGTCTGGACCCGAAAGTAGTGCGTCGTTGAGGCTTTTCCCTTCAAACTTTGCTGCTGCATCGAAAACGATTCTTGGCTTCCTTTTGACTGGATGCACTACAGCAAAGTGGGGTAAGTAGAATGTCCTTCCTTCGTTTGCAGTTGGCGGAGCCTTCTCTGCGTATCCTTGGTCAAGTAATTTTTGGATTTGCTTCTCGTATGACTCTCTGATTTCTTTGTCTTTGTCTAACTTCTTTTCAATGCCAATCAAGCGTCTGTATGCTTGTGAGTAATTGTTGGGTAGAGTCTCATCTTCTGTCTTCCACAGAAGGCCCGCTTCGAATTGACCACTTGCTAGTCTTCTTGTATTTTTGTCAAGGATCTCTAATGCCTTTCTGTCGCTGTCATTCTTTGGTAGTCGGTCTTGAATGCCAATGGATTCCAGCTGGAAGTGAAGTCGGACGATATCCTCTATGTTTTCAGCCGTAGATTCTTCACAGTGATTGACGAAGTTCACTATGGCGTTGGCTCCGGTGTCGCACCCGTGTAGTACCCATCCTAAGTTAGTAAGGGAGGCCACGGGGTCACTTGGTTTGCCTTTCTTCAACTTTCTTGTTACTATGAGTCCCCAGTTATCTTGGCCAATCAACAGCTTAGGCTTTTCACTGGTATAAAGAAGCTGTTCTTTTATACCTTTCAAGTGCTGACAGTTTCTCAAGGTAGCTTCGCTTATGCTTTGCTCTGACAGCCTTAGGTCATCGATAGTCCTGGCTGCTATGGTCTTCTTGTCCCTTCTATGAGCCCCCTTTATCTTCAGTTCAATCTTTTGTGAACCACTCTTCGTCACAATTTTTCCACCCACTGTTTCAATCGTAAGGTTCTCCTGACGTCCTTCCGCTCCGATCTGTTCGGCTATTGAAGCGTCCAAGAGGGTGACAGTTGATCCTTCGTCCAGCAATGCCAGCACGCGAGCTTGGCCCTTAGGTCCGTAAAGGTCTACTGGGACAATCTTCAGGTATGCCTTTTCTTCCCCTTTGGACTTGTGGATCGAGGCGACTTTCTCTGAAGGATTTTCTTCTAGGTTTACTTTCTTCTCAACTGGTACCGGTGGTTTGTCGGAATGTAATATAGTGTGATGCCATCTTTTACACTTCTTGCATACTGGAGCTCTACAGTTGATTCTTGAGTGCCTGAAGCGAAGACACTTGAAACAGATCTTGGCTCTTTTCACTATTTCCCATTTTTCGTTTATGTTGGCCTCTTTGAATGCTTTGCAATCTGACAAGTGGTGTTCTTCTTGACAGTTTGGGCATGTCTTCTGTTTTTCTTCTGATTCTTGTTGAACAGCATGTACGGATTTTCTTATCGTCTTCTTTTGTTCCACTGTTGCGTCGAGTGGAGCGAAGTCTCCGCACATGTCTGCTTCTATTTCTAGGAACTCTTCTATAAGTGCTAACTCTTGCAGGTCTTCATTTCTTCGGCTTCTGTGGTATGAGAACCATCTGAATTTCATGGACGGTGGCATCTTGTCTGTTATTACCTTCATGGTTTCAGGTGAACTGAGATACTGAGGTTTCTTTAAGGCTTTGATCGTAGCAACAGCATTCTTGACTTTGCTTGCGAATACACAAATTTCACTTGGGTTTTCATTGACCTTCGGTAAATTTTTTAGTTTCTCTAATTCAGCCAATGCCAGGGCTCCAGGACGTCCGAATCTAGCTTCTAGGCCTTTGATGACTTCACGCGGGTCTTCAGCAGTGAACAGAAGGCTGTGAACCGCCTCCCTGGCTTTTCCCTGGATTGCTCTTCTAAGGCGCGCCAGATTCTGGGTGTTGTTGAAGGAGTCAGCCATGTCTTCATATGATCTTTTGAATGCTAACCATTCTTCACAGGCCCCATTAAAGTGCGGGAGCTCAAGGTGCTTAGGCGTTGTAAGATCACGTGACTTGTCGGCGAGCTTGAGTATTACTTGAGCCAACTCCTGGATGTCACTCTTCTTTTCTTCAGTTTCAGCCGGTATTCGTTCCTTATCGGGTGCTGTACCGGCTGCTGTATGGATGATCCATTTTTCAACTTCTCGAGTTTGCTCGTATATTTCTTGGCCAGCGCCATCCTCTTCCTCGGAATCTGCGGCGATGAGGTCTAGCTCTGCTTGAGCTAGCCTGGATCGCGCTTCGGCTACTTCTAGATTTCTTAGTGCTAGCGTCATTTTGGCCTGGGCTTCAGCCCTCTTCTTTCGCAAGGAGCGGTCGGATTGCGCGTCTACGTCACGGGTTGGCTTCGCTGAACGATGAGGTTGCTGAAGGCTTTCTTCCCTTGACGTGGGCGTGCTCCTTATATTCCGTCGGGCCACTACGGCGATGTTTTGGTTTTCGCCCTGCGGCGTGGAAGAGTCTTCTTCTTGTCTCGCAGTTTCTGTGGCTTCGCTTTGCTTGCTGGTGGCGCTAGTCAGGGGATCAGACTGAGCATCTTTCCCCTGTGTTGATTCTTCTCCAACAGTATCTGGTTGGAGTACGGGCGATCGGTGTGATCGTACACTGGGCGGCGGCGTCCGTTTTGTCAGTGTTGACCGACTCAAGGTGGACGTGGCCGACGTACTTGTAGAATCACTCGGCGTATTCATACTCCAATCTGATGACGTAGAACTTTCTCCTGTAGTTTTCGAACGCACAGAACCTCCTCTTGTAGTAGGCATCTTCTTCAAACTATTAATCCCGATCCGGCTCGAAGGACCATTTGTTGCAGCTGAGGCTGTAGAACGAATTTATTTTGCGCTGGCGGGAGTAGCTTGGCAAGAGGTGTCGGCGTTCAGAATAAACACTTCCTTGATTGTAAAGTTCTTCTTTTATTTTCCTTAAGTTCTTCTTTTATATTCCTTTTCGTAGTACTGCTGGATTCAGAATGCCCAACCAAGGAAAACTGCCTTCTTTTATAGAGACCTTCAGCCAATCAGAACGCTCGGAGTTTGCACACGGCACTATCCTTTTGGCGGCAGCCAATCAGAGCGTTTTAGGTTTTTTACACTTAGAAACTGTCTAGTTTGTATGGGGAAATCTTATTTTTCAGTTTTCCGTATTTGGGCATCCTTTACAAGGTGATAAATATTATTTTAACATTAATAATAACTTATTCTAACATTTTACACTTAAAACTAACATAAAATAAACATTTTTCTGATTTAAAATCGTAAAAAACTATTACATGTTCTCGCTACGGTAAAGCTTCGTGGTACTTAAGCTTTTGCGACCATCGTACAAGTGGCGCCCTCTGGCTGCGGTTATGTTACATGTAATTACAAATTCTTTTCTTTTAATTTATACAATATCACATTAATATTTTTCTATTATTAATTATATTCATAATATCTTACGTGAATTACTTACGTTAATTATTACCTATCATTTGATAATTTAACATTCATTTTCAACGCTTAAATTAATTATTTAAGGGCATCTTACTCTAATTTGGGGTCATCGCTAACAAACAGAGTTACGAGTGCGTTGTCAATCTTGGATTTGGATTTGGAGATTGTAGAAATAGGGAAATGGAGGTATTGGGACTCCGGTAACCGTAATCACACGGCGAAACCCAAGGCTGTGGTTGTTTCATGCCGGTGTTCTGTGCCTACCCATTCGTGCCGAAGCATGGCTTTCCCACATTAAAACTCTTTATTTTTTCAATTACTAACTTGTCAACTACTGAAGAACCCCTCTGTGGTTCGAAACTAGTAGAGCTTTTCTCAATATTTACACGTGAGTAACCCGCGATTTTTAGTTAACTTAGTATGTCTCACGACAGTTATTTTAAAAACATAGTCAACTACTAGATAAAAATAATTTAGCTTTTCAGCTGACAGCGTGAGGTGAAGATTAGTACGGGTTGGTACCGAAAACGTGTCTGGCTGACGATGTTATTAATTAGTCTTACCTCTAAATATCTTTAGTATGTCCGGTAAATTAATTGCAATGCAATATTGATTGCAAAATGTCTGCCTGAATGCCTCTAAGTAACCGGACCGTATAGAAAGCTGTGAAGGTATACTGATATTTTGTGGGGAGGCGTGTGTTGACATATATTTTTTTTATGTTTCTCGGGTTGTGTAATGTTAAGTCACTCCATCCTCAGAGTTTTTTTGTATGCAACGCTTCCACTTTACTTCGTAGAACAAAGGCTGGTAGAGAGGGGCGCGCGAAACTCCTTCAAACCGGAGGCTTTCATGCTAATTGCGCGCATCTTTCCACGCCCTACTAAATGGAGTAACTTGTTACTTTTGCAGCGCGAACTTTATATTATTGTTTTATACCGAAACATTATAACACCTTTGTCGTCTTTCATAAAGAAAATATAATTCTGATTTCGCCACTTTTTATTGAATCATTTCAATTCAGTGAATGGATCACAGACGAGCATAGGCATAGCCTATACTAAAGCATATTTTAAAACATAGGCTATTGGTATGGGAGGTTTAATGAAGTGTTGTTTCCGGTTCCCAGCACGCTTTAAGCCGTGTGGGCGGCGTGATATTCTGCGAGGCGTCACAGCGATGGACGGGCACGCCGGCCGAGCTGGGCGAGCTGTGGTCGCGCGCGGCGGCCGGCGGCGGCGTGCTGGCGTGGCCGCGCCGCGCCGCCGTCACCAGCCTCACGCACCCGCGCATGTTCCACTACTTCCACGCCACCATCGACGACTTCCTCTTCGTGCAGATGATGGACGTGACGCGGCTCATCGTCGTCAACAAGCCCTCCGTGGTGGAAATCATGCGCCCCTGGATACAGTGCGCGCTCACTCTCGACTGCATCATGCCTATAGGTCTGTGATAATAAATGATCAAAGTAATGCGACGCTGCATACATAAGCAATAACTAAATGGGTGTGGTGTTCCAGGTGCACAGTCGGTAGGCTGCAGGTTCGATAAGAAGCCGCAGTACCGGTACTCGGGCTGCCACGGGCAGGACGCGTCTGCGTTGAGCATCGTGCTGGGACTGCGCTCGGGCTTCGAGGAGTCGGCGTACGTGGTGCGCGCGCGGGCCCGCTGGCGCAGCGTGAGCGCGGCGGCGGCGCGCGCCGAGCTGCGCCAGCTGCAGCGCAACTCCACGGAGGACTACCGCACCGACCACGCCGCCGCCGCCGACGCGCTCACGGCGCACGCCGCCTGAGCCCGCCTCGTCCGCCGCGGACACGACGCCGCCAGTTAGGGTTAAGATAAATAACTATTGGATATGTTAGTGAGACCAAATCTTTACATTATTTTATATCATTCCATTCGATGAAAATACGCCAAATAGATAAGATTTTGTTGTTTGAATTTCGAAAATTCGTATTGGTTCAGAAATTAGTGAGACATGTTTACTAGAGTAAGTAGGAGGCATCATTCGTTGAGTCGATACAACCCTAGATAATGTTGAGTATGAGTATTAGCAACTATTCATTTGCCATATTGGGTACAAAGTAATATTGTTTTAGTATATTCGGAGCCTGCGATAATTATTGTAATGTTACCTTTGTCAATTGTTTCTATTGTCGAAATTCTAAATGTGTATAACAGTATTGTTTGTTACTGAATAGTTTCGTTACAGCAATGTATTTGCTACCTTCAAAAGGTGCAGAGCGCGAGTGGATGCGAGTTACTTGTTGTTTACCATTTATTTTGTAGTTGTAGTATTATTTTATTCGGTAATGATTCGCGTTTCGAGCGAGATGGGTGCTGACCGAGGTGGCAGCGGAGTGATGACTGAAGGCGGGTACCGGTCGTGTCGCAGCCCTGCACTAACCAAGTACAAAGTAGCCGTGTAACGAACGAACGAGATACTGTCGCCAGCTGTGAAATTATTTACTAGGAACATATTTTGTGTAGATTGAGTTGTACATAAGTTTGTACATTAGACGTTAGTATGTAAAGTAGTGCTACATGTTTCGTAATTATTGTTAGTTTAGGTTGGCGGAGCACGCCGGCCGTGTGACGGCCCGTGTCCAGTGTTTGATAGCGACGTTAGCGTTAATGCATCGATACTCATTAGTTATAATTTATACGTGAGCCTTTTGTCGAGCAATATTATACGTTACGGTAAGGACACAGTATCACGTGCTACACTGCGCAGGCGCAACATACGGGCGACATTCGATTATTGGCTCAAATATTGAAGACATGTAGGTTAAACTATTTATTTGGGATTCATTGAATTTTAACAAATATTTCTGTGAAAACAAAATGCTACAATTTATAAAGCAACCCTACTTATTACGGGCGTTACGTTGTTAGTATTAACGTACTCAAGATATTTCAACTGTTGAGCAATCAAACCAGTACCAGTGCCTGTGTAACAACGGGTACTGTGCGTACTGCTAAGTATTTTGATACAAGATTTTGTCATATTACATTATATTCTTTCTTATTGATGTATACTTTTATACAAAATGTCCACCGAGTGAATATGTTGCGATGTTTCCGAGCTCACATGTGGCGACATCGCCCGGCGAGCGAATGCGTCAGTCCATGTAAGGTGGGACGCAACGAACGGTGCATATCGGTGATTTATTTTGAAGTATTTTGTGATGACTCCAGGTTTGGTTGTGAACTGCTATCAAAGCTAGTCGTGTACCTGCATGCACGACCTACTTAGTTCGCCGCATCCAATGTGATATACTTAAGTATTTATTAGAAGCGTGTGTGAGTGCGACGTCGGTGCCGAAGGACGAGTACACGCTGCCCAAACGAGGCAGTGCGAGTGCTGGACAATATGTTAACTGATTTTTATATTGCCCTCATATATCATAATCAACATCAACTCGAAACAATCAAAACATGCAGTCGCTGTAACTCATGTATAAGTATTAAACCATATTGTAATAAGATTGTATCGAAGCACATTTATCTACCATAGCTGTGTCACATTTTTGTAAAGATTTATACATATTTATTTTGAGATTGATCGCATATACCTGAAGCCTCTAATGTAAGGATCTCACGGCAACTTAACGCAGCTTAAATTAAGTGTACCTATCTGTAATCACGACCAACATGTACATAAGTTTATAAAGTTTTTACTGTAACTTGATACTGGAAACTGCAAATTGTTCAAAATTTCTTCACGTTATCTTTGAGTTTGTCGCAGCTAGTAAAAATAAGAAATGTGAATTCAATCAGAAGTAACATAAATGCGTAGGTAATTCCGTTTAGAGACAACGAAAGACGCGTTGACCCGTAGTGTACTCCTCTCTGTAATGATCAAAGTTAGTAGACTTACTGCCGTAGGTACTTCGTAGTGACCAGCCGCTGTATCGAGATTATGTTCGTGGTGAATAGTATTGAGCAAGTTGCCAGCTGTAGTGTCGCGGACGGCCGCGAGCCGTGCCGCGTTAGTTAATACGAGATCTAGTCCTTATGTTAATAGTTAATAAGTCGGTTTTCAAGTAAATTTTTAAACATGTGCTTAGTGCGTTGAAACATTTGAGCCAATTGAATGATGAAAGCAACTGTCGATACCTATCGAGTATGTTGTCTTCACACTTCAGATGCAACCTAATAAATTTCACAATCACTGTAATTATTTCAAGTTTCTATATGACGATAATAAAGAGTGATCGTGCCGCATTATAATACCACTTACATCGTACAAAACATATGCAAATGATTAAATATTGACTCAGTGAAGGACAACGCATTAAGCACTTGTACGTACCTACTTGGTAAAATAGATAACATTGTACTGCTTATATTAACCCTTTTGAAGTTTATAAAACCTAATGGATAGGATACGTATAATATACTTATTGAATTTATACAATGTAATTGATATAAATACGACCACGTTTGAACTGTAGTGTTCTGCCAAATGCATCACATTTTTGTGACATGTTTGCGTGCAGTGATGCAAGCGACGCGCTGTTGCATAACGGAGTATTTGTATCTTTTCCTCGCACTTTACTTAGGTTAAATTGTAAAATTAAGTATATCGAGACACGTGAGGCACGCTACTGCCGTAGGTGACATGCCAACAATCATTTAGACTTGTATTATATTTCAAGTAGTACTCCGACCATGTTGAACCCGAAGTTGCCAAATATTTTGCAAGACCTCGCAGCGGGTAATAGGTAGATACCAGGTGGGCACAACACCACTTTTCTAAACGTTTTGACTATCATTTACCTCCCTTACTTAACTTTGCTTTTACTTCATCACACATAAAAGTCACCGACAGCAGTCGCGTGTGTATGTACGTACGTGTGTGTGTATGCTTGTACGTGTGTCTGTAAGTGAATGCCTGCTGTATGGTAATTGATCTTAGCGTATTTTTTAAACAAATGCAGCTTTTACATACGCATATCTTTATCAACAAGTGATAATTATTTATTAAACGATGATTATGACATTATTGTATTGTTTTATTTATTCATCTTCTTGCGAAGATTGTTGTGCACGCATTGTTCACTATTACTTTTTATTAAAAACATCGTGTATAATTGTATCTATTTATTAATTCCACCGAGAAATGACAAAGAATAAAACACGCATACAACATTCTGATAAACAATATTAACGATTTCAAACATTAAATACTTTAATACAATAATTCACTTATAACTTAGTTTTTGGTTAAAATACTGCGTAGATACATTAACCTATACATTACTAAGTCACAAAATAAACAAAACGTTGACATACTGTTTCATAATGTCTAGTTTGCGGCTATATACCAGATTTTGAATATAGAACGTAATTTGTATGAACTATCTGCCAAAGTTTATCAAATAATTATATCAAAGTGGCAGCTAAGCTAGCGCTTCTAAGAAAATAATGAATTTAGTGACGAAGCATATCTGTTGAGTAATATAAACCTGGTTTATACATGTCTAGACAAAGGTATGTATATTGATATTAGCAATGGAAACACATTGAAGCATAATTGCATTCACTTAATTATTAATTTATTATTTTAATAGTTTATCTGTGTGTGTGTGTGTGTGCAGTATTTTAACCAATATACAATAGAGTAATGTACACTAGTGAAAGTTGAAGTGTTTCACGAAGGAACACGGCTTGAAATGAGAATAGTCCAAACTTTTGTACTAATACAATCAATTCACTATACAAGTATATACAAATTTCACTGCATTGACTAGAGACAACGATTGTGCTTGATATTGAGCTATTTGTTTTAATATGTTTATCACTTTAAATCAATGTATTCGACTAGTTTCAGCCAGGATCACTTTAATATGGAATAGGGCGGTTCACGGATGATCACCTGATGATAATTAAAGGATTACGGATTTGGGAATTGAGTCCCTCAAGAAGTTGGAGTGGAGAATATTTAGTACTTTCAGCTTCATAAACGCCCTTATAACCAAAATCATTAACGAAATTTCAATAATTAATATTTACATTTTTTCCACTTTTAAAAGTCATCTGTATACAGAGACTAAGTCTTATTTTATTAGGTAATATTACTAATATGCAGTTTGTACCAAGTAATATGTATATCTGTGCGATTAAATAATGCCTCATAAAGCGTCCAAGGGTATTTAAATCAACTCAAACTAAATAGGTATAGCTTAATACTTATTGCTTGAGAGCAATCAATGGCAAGAAATGTACATAAACACCAAAGAAAACTTCCACCCCATCGCCATGCTGTCTCCTAACATACTGGACATTGATATGATCACTCAACCTTTTTAAAATACATAGTTGATTAGTTAGACATAAAATGTAGGTATCTGTTTATCTAGCTAACCTGGCGCAAGCGGGTGGGTGACAGCAGCAAGGCTCTCACTGAAAAATATTAAATAAAGCAAACATAGATAGCTATTATAAATAAATTATCCAACATTATTTCTACTTTTATAAAGTACTTATTACTAAATCCTACAATAATAGTAACATTTTTGTGATATCCTATTATTTAAATTAATATGTTTCACTTAAACACATTTCATAGATACAGAATATGTTGTAAAACTCATATGTTATTAGTAACACATACATGTGTATAGCGATACGTGGGAAGATATAGCGAACACTTCATTTTTTGTTAACATAGGGAAAACGAGCGGGCCTTTTACCGTTTGTAAATTGTAAGCCTATCACCGCCGCCCATTGATACCCGCAACTCCAGGACGAGTCCGGTGCGGGGAAAAGTCATATGAACTTAGTCTATTATTTGCTGACATCGCTTCATCATTAGACATCTAAGTAAAAAAAATACTTCGTATTTTCATACAAGAACTTCTCCGAAATTTCAACCGAAAAAAGAATTCTAACAGAGAATACAAAAGCATCTCTTTTCGCTCATTGTCTGTGTATATTAATTCATAACTTTTTAACTGTATCTCCTGGATACACATGATTATGGCGACAAATACCTATCATATTTACTATGCATAACGATGATATACCTATAACGTCAAGTTTGGTCAAATCTTAAATGACAGTGCACCAGCCTAACTTTACAAGGTTGTTAATAACATATATTACATAAGTGTAAACACTTGACTGTAGAAGTGAAAACAACATATTTTATTAGGCCTACATAGGTCATTCGTTATAAAGTACTACTGATGTGGTCCTCAGTCAGAGGTGATATTAGTAAATTCTTCTAAAATACTTACACTAGGGTCGTACATGATTGTCTTTATAGAAGTGTCATAAAACCCAAGCCACTATAGATTACGCTGCAAGCATGTAGTGGTAGCGTCAGATATAGGAAAATGTTACACTCTCCTAAATAAAAGTTTCTCAGAGATTATAGTCACGTTTAGGATAATGAAAGCAACGCATACTTTTAATAAAATTCGCACTCATAGTATAGATCCAATGTATAAAGATAAATTTGTTTTTCCGTTAAATATTGCACTTCATAGTATTTACAAACCCTTTTTATAAAATAAAGATTTAAAAATTAAAAAAAATAGTATTTACAAAACTAAGACAATATACACAATTTAGTTTTCCCTAAATTTTGTTACTAGCTCAAGGATAGGACAAAATCCTGTAAGTAACAGTTCGATAAAGATATGTTTTTGTTTATCTATTTAGATTTTTTCTCGTCATTTTTCTGTTCTGGTTTTGAGTCTTCATCGATGAAGAGCAGTGGCGTCATTCCCAGAATGCAGCCTATTGTGATACCAAGAACTCGTCCCTAGAACCAGAATATTGATATGTGATGACTGCCCGTATGAGACACAATAGAAAAGCTTAGATCTATGTTCTGGCAAATAAGGGGTTACTAACTCCTTATTGCCTGCCAGAAGCCCAGAACTGCCATAATTCGCAGTGCCGGCGTAAGGGGAGGGTGGGGGGCGTGATGGGGCGATGGCCCAGGGCAAAAAATTGGGGGGGCGCCAAGGTCTGAACTTGGAGTATCTTGTCTTTTCTGGTGCAAACCCTCAGAACTGTGCTCTACGCTCTGTGCATATGCATATTTTTGAGATGGATTTTTTGAGAGTTTGTGATCGAGGAGTCACTCAAATGTTCGTTCGAGTCACTTCTCGACCCCACGGTGCTTACGCTCACGATTGGTGCAATACTTCCACCGCCAAACCGATACGCGTGACACGTGGTAGATTGCGGGGATAATTGAACCGTCTATATCTATATATATAAAAGAAAGTCGTGTTAGTTACACCACTTATAACTCAAGAACGGCTGAACCGATTTAGCTGAAAATTGGCAGGGAGGTAGTTTAGAGCCAGGAGAAGGACATAGGATAGGATAGAGTAGGTAGAGTAGAGTAGGTAGAGTAGGGTAGGTAGAGTAGGGTAGGTAGGGTAAATAGAGTAGGGTAGCAAGGGTAGGGTAGGTAGTCAAATGACGGGAGCGACGCCGCGGGTAAGAGCTAGTATGTATATAAAACTAACACTTGCTTCCTTTAAGTGTGCGCCCGATATTTACGCTAGGGGTGTCAGTCTTACGCCGGCCCTGGGGGTTAGTATTCCTTTTAAATGTTGTGAATGTTTGTGTTGTCTTTGTCACCATACATACCAAGTTTGAGAACTGTCTGGAGATGTTCATATCCAGCTGTGCAGGAGACAGTTTAGGTGCTCCCAAGCCTACCCATGAGGCGACTCGTTCTACGTAGTAAGCAGAACCGATGCCGATGACGTCACTAAGCGTGTTGCCCAACGCCGCAGCAGCCATTGTTGAAAGGGTAATGTATGCACTCATCCCTGTTTCTATGCTGTCACCCTACCATATAAGACATCGGTAAGTAAAACGACATAAGGACCTAGTATAAATTAGTAGTTAATGTGTTCAAGTATTGCAATGCATAAAAGTACTTACAGCAATGATCATGATGAAGTTATCCAAGAAACCAAATCCAATAAACGGTATTGAATTTGCCAGGGATACTGAAACAGTAATATCAACTTGTTTACAATACATCTTTTTAAAAAAAAACCTTTTTGGGCAAATTGGTAATTAAAACAGTTAATTAGCTATTGGAATTATTTGCTTAATTACCCTTTTATGGACACCTGCAACACAAGAGGTGTTACAAGGGCATTGCTGGTCTCCTGTAACATTCGCGTGACAAATCACAATACAAATAAGTGTGGGAGAGCCAAGCTTCGGCACAAATGAGTCGGCTCGACCGGAGTGAAACCACGGCCTCACAGAAAACCTGTGTGAAATAACCACAGCATTGTGTTTTGCCGAATGAGTGAGGTTACTTAAATTTCTTAAACCTTTATCCCTAAAAGGGCGGCAATACACTCGTTACTCCTTTGGTGTTGCGGGTGTCCATGCGCAGTGCTGATTGCTTACCATCGGGTAATCCATTTGCTAGTTTGACAACCTATACAATAAAAAAAAACCTCACTGTTGCATGCTCATTTTTAGGTCTGCTCTCTGTCTGTCTATCTAATTTTAAAATACTTACACATGCTATTTTGTGTACTATTTTAGGTACATATTTTTTTAATGTGATTATTTTAATTATCACTGTTATGTGTTAACATTCTCTGATTACATAAGGATGATAATTATAAATCCTCTGCATCAGATTAGATAGTATATGAAAGACACAGATAACACTTACAGTGTAACAGCTCCTTAGTGGTGGGTGCTGGCACCTTGGCGGCTGCAACAGAAAATATTAAAAATATTTCAGTGTTACATATTTATATGCTATCATGCACATTGACATAACTGTTAGAAAAGAAATACATAAATAATTTAAAATACATCAGAAGTCAATTTGCATGCTTGCCTAAGATAGCAAATAGTTTTCATTGTTAAATTTAATTGAGGGATAGGAAAACATAATGATTACTATTGTTTGTTTGTTCATGATAGCCCAGAGAGATAACTAATCAATAATCTACAAACCAAAAACAGTCAGTAGTAGACACAGAGATTAGGTTGTGTCTGAGATGACTTAAAGTCAATCAAAATACCTATAATGATTGGAAACTATTAATTGCAGTTTTGGATAACCAAACCAAATGAGTAATCTGTATAGGTGAACAGTCAATGACATCATCACCTTGGCAACTAGTTAGAACTGGATTTAATTTGCTTATATTTTAATTTCATACAGACCATACTTTTTCTTGAGCCAGTCCTCTGGTACCTCACAGTATGAACCAGTGGGATCTACATCTCCTAATGTTGGTACTTTGCTTGGTCTCCCTAACTTGCTACGCCACCTTCTACCAGCTAGTTTATCTGGAATCAAATTACAAACTTAGTTTAAATCTTACGCGGAACGAAACACTAAATGATTAAAGATTAAGTGCATTACCTTCATATTCTTCCTTAATTCTTTTAGATTCATATTGTTGTAAAGCGTAGAGCAACACTTTTCTTTCCTCGTCGTTTAAGTGTAGCACAAGTTCATTAGCGTGTAATTTTGTCAAAGGGCTAGTAATTTGTCCCTGTACCTGATCGTCGAAATCTTTAGAAGTTGGTCCAAGCCCCAAACTCCTAATTTTAACTGCTGTAGGTGCTAACAACTTAAAATGTGTTTTTAATAAAGTGGCACTATGTCGCACCTGCAGTCTCGATGAAATATCCCGATAACATATATTAAACTTATTTATATTTAATACACTAAGCCTACTTAAACCTCGTACAGCTTTCATCTTCTACAGTTACTCGTAGTAACCCAAACAAAATGGGTTAAATATAATAAACAAATTCTATTTCAGGTGAATGCGACGATCTGTTTCACGAATGCTGCTGTCAAATCCAAACATCAAAAATGTACGTCAAAAATTGACAGACTGCATGGACCATTGATGTTGAACTTAAATTTCGTATAAAGGAACAACATTATTTTACCACCTAATAGAATTGTGTTTTATTTGTATTATTCACAAAAATTATTGAAGTGTTGCATGGTCTGTTATTATTTATTGTTTCGTTGGAATATTTTTGAACATTGGATCAAGTAAAAAGTATGTAGTTGTGTTTACGTGTCCCGTTGAACCGACAAGTCTAAATAAAACGCATTTATAATTTCGATACCAGGTTTAGTTCGAATTAGGGCTAGTTACAATGTATTGTTTTATGCTAATTAGATAAGAGAAAGCTAGCTGATAGCTCATGTTGTGATGCCATGATGGTCATCAATCAGATAATTTTCCGCCATGGACATATACCTACACGGCAAATTATTTGAGTTTATAATACTAAATCTATGGTTTCATTGTCTATTAATGACATTGACAGTAGACAGCTGTTAGCATTTGACCGAATTTGTGACAGCTGAAGTCCTTTTCATAGTGTTACCATGTTCGATAGATTTTCCTTGCTTAAGGGAATCTGAATTTCTGCTTGCAAATTAAAATTTGTTTTGGATTGCAAAATTCAAGCTACACTTGTCTTTTATTTATGCGTGTATTAACATGTATACTAGTTTCAATAAAAAGAGCTAATAACATCCCATAAATATTTCTAAAAAAATGTTTTTCTTAGTCTAAGCAAAAGTTAAAATTGCAAGGACTGTATAAAACTATTAATGGCAGCATTGAAAAATTTGCCGTAACTGTGTGGTGAAAACTAATGTTATCTTTATCCTGCTAGTTTTTGCAGCACAAAGTTAAAAGAAGTATAATTACAAATATTATACATTTTTTAATGGATGAATAGATTGTGCAATAACATCTTAAATTGCCGTACAAAGTTCATCACGGCTTCACCGAAACGTGACATAATATCAGCGATAAAGGACGACAACAACAACAGAGGTGTTAGGTCAATGACAAACATTGGCGTGTTTAAGGCGAAAGTGAACCGCAAGACGGTGTAAACTAGTAGAAATAACAGCAGAGTTGAGCAGAGACCACGATGCACGATGTTGGAGGGATTAGTAGCATGGGTTCTGAACAACTATCTGGGGAAGTACGTGGAGAACTTGAACACGGATCAGCTGAGCGTAGCTCTCTTGTCGGGTACGTGCATATAGTCGTCACGCAGTCTACTGCGTATATGTCCTCTTGTGTATATTTAGATATTACGCTATTAAGATGACATTAGAGCCATGCCCTATAGTATAGTACAATCTTATTTAGTATTGAAGGATTGCAATAAGCAATTTTAAAAACTACTAATTGATGCTACAATTTCTATAAAATTACATTTCAGGCAGGGTGGTACATGTGAACAAAACTATTTTACTATTGACACTCATAGATGACATAGGAAATGTAAATAAATATAAATATATGGTAGGGAATTCATATAAAAAACATTCTCCCTATTTTTAGCTACTTGGGGACCTGTTTGTTTCAAACACCAGTCTAATATGTAGTCAGACTTGCATTACTACATTTAATGCAAAGTAGAGATGAGCATGAAATGGTTCTTATAATTTGTCTTCAAATCTTGTCATAGAATTCAATGGAAATCTATGAATTGTGATTGTACTGAGTGCATTTAAATATAAATGTATATTTATGAAAATATGTTTCCTAAGTACAAAGTTTGCTGTTGTTGATCAATTATCATAATCTTATGGCGTATATTTTTAAAATGCGACATTTTTAACTAATTCATCTCTAATTTTATTTATTGTGTTCATATAAGACAAGGAATGTATATACAAAGAATAGTGATGTAATGTTGCCTTTGGCACAGAACCTTTATTTATATGTTTTATTTACACTTTTACTTAAAGAACATTCTCATCATGTTTACTGTTCATGTTATGGGATTTGACTGTTATAAGTAGTCTAATAATAGGTAGAGACCCTGCAGAGACATGGCTTGGTCTTGGAGCCAGGAATGTCACCTAGTTTTGTAATCTCTAGACCAACAAATGTAACAAAAAAATTATTGGCTAGTAAATTAATTTGTTTATTGTTTCATCACTTTAAGGGAAGGTGGAGCTAGAGAATCTTCCCCTGAAGAAAGATGCCCTACGCCACCTAGGCCTTCCAGTGGAGATCAAAGCAGGATTCATTGGGAAAGTCCAACTCCAAGTACCAGTGCGGCAGATCCGATCAGCTCCATGGCTGATAGCCATCGAGAAACTATATCTAGTAGCAGCACCAATCAATTTGGATGAGGTCTGTGATTTGCTTAGTATGGTAATATTTTGTAAGTCTAAAGTTTTCCCAACAACAGACTCATTATTTGCTACAATTTCAATTATAAGTGCAATATAATTTTAATTTTAATATGAACATTAGTGGATGATTAATCATTTTAATATGATATCATTTGGCAACATAACATTACATTGCACATTGTAAAACAGTCAAATATTGAATAGTGTCATTTTTTGCCACATCCATCATCTTTTTCCAGAAAGTGCAGCAGCATCTTGTTTTATCTAATCTCTGCCCAATATTTGTTTCTGCAACCATCAACAACACAATTGTAACATTTCTGGTGTCAGATAAATAATTTGGGATTTACAGATAAAAATATGTAACATAGTATTTAGTTTTAAGCACACTTAAAACTAAATACTATGTGTGACATTAATTAGAATATTTGAGAGTGGAATTTCAGTAAGTTATTGTAACATTTGATAAGAGGTAACAGTGATAAATGTATTATTGGTTTTTTTATTATCTTCTTGCCTCTATCTCAGTCATTGATTGCATAAATAAATCTAAATTCTATGAATAATCGTGAAATCCTAATCCAGTTTAATAGCTACCCAATCATTACTTTTCTCTGGAGCAGTGGGACAGCTCGGTGGAAGCGTCGATAGCGCACGAGCGCAAGACGGCGCTTCTGGACGCGCTGGAGGCACAATGGCGCGCAGAACACGAGGCCGCGGACGCCGGCTACTACGCTACCTCCTACTCATCCTGGCTCAGCTACGGCACTGGGCTGCTAGCCAACATCGTCGAGAATCTCCAGGTGTGAGAGAATGATCAGTAGTAGGCTTTAGGGCGAACTGCGGAACTATGTTCATTACATAATTATTGTAACCATCTTGTTGTATCGTAATAGCTGAAGCTGAACGACGTACACATCCGCTACGAAGACGCAGTAACGTGCGCACGTCCATTCGCGTGCGGGCTGACGGTCGAGTCACTGTGCGCCGAGTCGTGCGACAGCGAGTGGCGCCGCGGGTTCACGCTGCTCAGCGACCCCGACGGCTGTTCCTTCAAGCTGCTCGAGCTGTACCACCTCGCCGTGTACTGGGACCCGATGCCCGTGCCCACTGGCATGTTCGCCAGCTGTACCATCGCGGAGCTCACGGTGAGTGGCGCGCCCCGCGCCGGGAGAGGGCGGCGGGCCGCGGGCGCGGGGCGCGGCACTGTACGGTGACGGTTGCAGGGCCGCATGGGGCAGACGTGGCGCGGCGCGCACCGCTACGTGCTGCGGCCGGCGTCGGCGCGCGCGCGCGTGCGGCGCGAGCGCACGGAGCAGCCGCTGCGGTCGCGCGCGCGCCCGCGACTGGCCGCGCACCTCACGCTCGACACCGTGTCGCTGCACCTCACCTCCGTGAGTATACAGCTCATCCAGAAATGGCGAATTCGTCGCGAAACATACGGTGCGAAATCTGCGAGCGAGTGCACGTATCCAGGGAAATGGAGCGCCAACATTTTGATTTAGTATACCACGCCAGAAGAGAGGTGGAGAGTTAATAGAAAAATTCGCTTTATGTTTGGGTGCATTCACTCATCAAATTGTGTTCACCCCGCTCGTTTTACGCACGAGATAATCGCGGCGGATTCGCTACTTCTGACCAAGCTCGTAGCCCGCTGGCGGGCTCAGTAACGTGGTGGTCCCCACAGCGGCAGTACAACGAGGCGGTGTGCTGCGCGGCGGGGCTGGAGCGGCTGGCGCGCGTGCGCGAGTTCCGCGCGCGGCGCCCGGCCGCGCCCGTGCGGGGCCACGCGCGGGACTGGTGGCTGTACGCGCTCTCCTGCCACATTCCCGACCACCGCTGTGAGCGTTCTTACCATTATTTCCTCATATTCCTCTGCATAATACTCATTTGTGTGCTGACATTCCGCCCCAGGGACCGAGCCTAAGCCGACGTGGGAGTCGTGCCTGGAGCGTGGCCGTCAGTCCCGGCAGTACGTGGCGGCGTGCCTGGTGACGCTGAGCAACCCGGCCGCCACGCTGCCCGCCGACCGCAAGGCAGCCAAAGATGAGTTCGAGTGGCGCACGCCGCTGCCATTGCTCAAGGCTTTGAGAGAGGTACAACGGCACTACGTCACCGGTTTAAAACCTCTATAGTCTTTTAGGGATCTTAAATAATGGCGAATATCTCCAGGTGGCGATGCACAAGGTGCCAAAGTCGAGTCCGGCGTCGACGCCGGATAAACCGGGCAGCTCGGGGCGTAGCATGCTGGTGCACTGGTTTCCGCAGTGGTGGGGCTGGTACGGTGCGCCGCAGGATACGCCCCCATCCGCTGCGCCTGCTCCCGCCCCCGCTCCCGCCCCTGCCCCTGCCCCTGGTGACCTCGAAGAAGAGATCCTCGACGTCATAGCTGACTCTTTGGACAATAACACCATGCTGAAGAGGGATACCGTGTTCGGGAAGTTCGAGTTTATATTGAACAAAGGCTCACTCAACCTCTGCATGGAGACTGAGGCTGACGAAGACAAGTAAGTTTTGGAGAACTTTCGAAATATAGGATCTGCTATTTGCTTACCATGTTCGCTTGATTTTCCGGCGGAGCTCGTATACGTTGAGTTTAACGTTACACCTGCTTGTGGCCCGCCAGAGGAGTGCCGGAGGCTGCGGAGGGCAGCGAGGGCGCGGAGGGCGTGGAGCTGCAGTTCTCGTGCGTGCGCGTGGGCATCGAGTCGCGGCCGCGCGCCGCGTCGCACGCGCTGCACGTGTCGCTGGGCGCCGTCTGCCTGCGCGAGCGCATCACGCCCAACACACTCTTCCCCATACTCATCGCGCCACAGGTCACCATCACCCGAGATACTCATGTTATTTACTTGCTTGCAATACGGTTGTTTCCAACTAGTCAAATTCAATACTTTTATCCAAATGTCAAAAACGATACTTTTCTATGAAAATTGTATGAAACATTGAATTATGACGTCATAGCATTTTTGCGTCAAATAGCTTACTTATTTTTAAAAAATTAGCTAAAACATATCTAAAACTTAGTGTATCGATCGATCGATGAATAAAAGTATAGTTATTTTTCAATATGTTATCGTATTAAAACGTCGAATTAATTTATTTTTGACCTAGGAAACTACCCAATTATTGCTTTTTTGGCTCAATTTCACATCCACATCACACCAAGACCCGGAACAACAATTTGTTGATCACTAAAAGTGTCGTTGTGTGTGGGAATGGAACCCGCGACGCGTAGCATAGCAGCCGGCCGGCCAGTCAGTGTCATTTGGGATTAGGAGTGTAGAGTGAACATGTGTGGTTGACGCAGGGTGTAATCCGCGAGGGGCTGAGCTCGCTGAGCGCGTCGGGCGCGGCCATGGCGTGGTGCCGCGCGCACTCGCAGGCCGGCGCCAGCATCCCGCACTCCCAGCAGGAGCCTCTCTTCCAACTCACTTACGAGAAGAAACCCTTCGGCATGAACTGCGACTACAAGTAAACTAAAGCAATAAACCTAATTTGATGAAGTTGTGCGAAGAGTGCGTCGACTGGTGACGGAGTGTGTGGTGTGCCCGCAGGCTGTGGGTGAAGTCAGCGTCGCTGGAGGTGGTGTACAGCGCGGCGGCGGCGCGCTGGGCGCAGCAGTGGCTGAGCGCGCCCTGGGCGCGCGCCTACGCGCACGTGCGCGAGTCCACGCGCGCGCGCCTGCGCACGCAGTGGGAGCACATGCTGCACGCGCACCCCGTACGTAGCTCGCCGCCTCGCGCGCCGCTCTGCTCCGCCACTTGCTCATGCTTCTGTGTCTGCAGGGCGAGCGCCGCACTTGGCAAGTGGAGCTGGACATCTCGGCTCCTCAGATTCTGTTCGTGGAAGAGCTCTGCTCGCGAGACTCTGCAGTTCTAGTGGTTGACTTCGGCAGGCTGCGGCTGGCTAACGCTAACCTGGCAGAATGCGCGCCGCACACCCCGCCCGATGATGAGGGTACGTGCCCTGCGGGCGAACATGGACCTGCATGTATTTACGAGGAACGAGTAAAGTGAGTAAGCTTTGTTTTCCAGAAATGTTCATGACTCCCTGCTCGACGCCCCCGGGCAGCCTGCTGTCCCCGAGCTCGCCCCCCGACCCGCCGCCCCAGAACCAGGCGCAGCCGGCGCTGGACGCCACCAACCTACACAACCGCCTCTACGACAGGTACACAGCGCGCTGCTGCACCGCTCGCAGTGGGGGCGCGGTGCCTGCTAACCCTGCTCGCCCTGTGCAGGTACAAGATAGAGCTGAGCGACCTGCAGATCCTGGTGGGGCGCGCGCGCGACAACTGGAAGTACGCGCACACCAAGAGTACCTCCTCGCTGCACCTGCTGGACCGGTTCAGCATCCTGCTGCAGGCGGAGCGGCGCGTGGTGCAGACCAGCGACCCGCAGTACCCGTCGGCCACCGCGTGCGGCTCGTTGCCGGCGCTGGTCGTGCACCTCAGCGAGCACAAGCTGTTCGCCGTGCGCGCCGTGCTCGCGCGCTGCGCCCTGCTGCCCGCCAGGTACCGCCCGCCGCCTGCGCCCGCGCCCCGGCCCTCTGCGGACCCTCTAACTGCTGCCGTGTCCCCAGCGGCCGCGAGCCGGCCAGCCCCGTGCAGGAGCCGGCGGACGACGTGGAGGAGAGCAGCGTGAGCTCGGAGACGGAGCGCTCGGAGCTGTCGCAGCACCACAACTCGACGCTGTTCATGCTGCAGTTCGCGATAGAGCAGATGTCGCTGGAGGTGCAGTCCATGGGGCGCAGCATCGCGGAGGTGCAGGTGTGCGGCGTGAAGGCGGCGGCCACGGGCCGGCCGCGGGACCTGGCGCTGTCGCTGTCCGTGCACTCGCTGCTGCTGGTCGACGCGCTGCAGACCTACGGGCCCGACTTCGAGCTGCTCGTCGCCAGCCACAAGCATGTCGGGTATGGGCCGCGCGCGTTGCTCTCACGACTACATTCTTATACTTCCTACTACCGTCATTGTCGTGTTGCAGCATGGACACGATGTCGGGCAGTATCCGCGGCTCGGAACCGACATCCCCGACGTCTCCGACGTCCCCCACGTCTCCCACGTCCCCACAGGGCCTGGCGTCCCCGGATGCGCGGGGCGCCCGGGGCCCGCACGGCCTGGCGCACCCGCACGCTCTGCACCAGGCCCTCAACTCGTTGCACTACAACAGACGTGAGTAACCCGCACGTTTCACCATATTCACATTACAGAAATTGGATCGCAATGTATTCCTATGCGAATCCAGTAAGGCGAATCTTCAAAGCGTTAAGGTAAGCAAACTAGGTATAATCGAAACTCTCGAATAAAATTTGATGCCCTTTTGCTACTATATACCTGAAACAGATAAGTAGCGATGCTGCTAATACAGGATAACAGTGTACAGTCAGTGGATATTGATGCCGATCCTTATGCAAATTTAAATAAAACAAAATATATATATTTATATATATTTTGTTTTATTTATATATATATATATATATATTTATATATTTATATATATATATATAATACTTGGTAAAAGTAATAACTTGTTTGGTATGTAAGTAACAATGTTTAGTGTGAGTTTTCGTCACGTTGCCGCAATCGTGATGGGTGACGGAACGATTTACCAGTATCATTATGAATAGCAGTATAGATTTACCAGTATCATTATAAATAGCAGTATAGATTTACCAGTATCATTATGAATAGCAGTATAGATTTACCAGTATCATTATAAATAGCAGTATAGATTTACCAGTATCATTATGAATAGCAGTATAGATTTACCAGTATCATTATGAATAGCAGTATAGATTTACCAGTATCATTATGAATAGCAGTATAGATTTACCAGTATCATTATAAATAGCAGTATAGATTTACCAGTATCATTATGAATAGCAGTATAGATTTACCAGTATCATTATAAATAGCAGTATAGATTTACCAGTATCATTATGAATAGCAGTATAGATTTACCAGTATCATTATAAATAGCAGTATAGATTTACCAGTATCATTATAAATAGCAGTATAGATTTACCAGTATCATTATAAATAGCAGTATAGATTTACCAGTATCATTATGAATAGCAGTATAGATTTACCAGTATCATTATAAATAGCAGTATAGATTTACCAGTATCATTATGAATAGCAGTATAGATTTACCAGTATCATTATAAATAGCAGTATAGATTTACCAGTATCATTATGAATAGCAGTATAGATTTACCAGTATCATTATAAATAGCAGTATAGATTTACCAGTATCATTATGAATAGCAGTATAGATTTACCAGTATCATTATGAATAGCAGTATAGATTTACCAGTATCATTATAAATAGCAGTATAGATTTACCAGTATCATTATGAATAGCAGTATAGATTTACCAGTATCATTATGAATAGCAGTATAGATTTACCAGTATCATTATAAATAGCAGTATAGATTTACCAGTATCATTATGAATAGCAGTATAGATTTACCAGTATCATTATGAATAGTATAGATTAAGCGTGTTGTGCTATTGCTCATGTTGATAATCCGCCATTGCTGATATGCCTAACAACCCTGAGCCGAAGTTCATTCAAAGCTCTTGGACCATAATGTAAAGGCACTCGGTGTTATACAATTTGCAGAAGAGTCCCAGTGTCCCACCGAGCCGACGGACCCCGGGCGAGCCAGCCCGGCGCCTAGCTGGATGTCTGGTACCGGCTTCAACTGGAATGGCAGCAGCATGTTTGGGGCCGACTGGGGCACGTGGAGCGGGGCCAACTGGGGCCCCACTGCCACCAACTGGGGCGCGGCCGGGCTCGTCGATTCTGAAGCACTTATAGCCGTCGATTTATGCATCGTCAAGGGTGACGCCGATTCAGAAGATTTAAGGATAGCTAATATTTTGTTTAACAATCTTGATATTATTGGTAAGTTTAAAAAGTTGAACCGCTTATTGTTGGTAGTAATTCAATATATAATTATTTATTTATTGTATGTAGCCAATCAAGAGACCATAGTCGAGTTGATCGGCTTCACACAGCGCGTGATGGGGCCGAAGACGGCCCCTAAGAAGCAATCCACTGAGAGCAACCAGTCGGAGCCTGCTGCGGCTGCCGCCTACAGTTACCCTGCGCCTGAAGACGAACCTAAGGTAACCCGCACCACCGATTACAGGACAAAGGCAGGTACACCGTACAGAACACGAAAGTGGAGCCACCAAAGCAAATACACATGCAAAAGCGAATACAAACTCGGATCAGTACGTCACGATGCGTCACATCGCCGCATCGTCACATATACTAGCCGCTCGCCCCTGCTTCGCACGGGTATTCAATCGGTTTCAATTTCCCGATTTCCCCCTCAACTAATCTAAAATTATCTTTCATTGAATTGGCAAAATTGGTCCAGGCGTTTTTGAGTTACTCGCTTACCAACACAAACCGGCTTCACACTATCGTTCCGTGCGGTCCGTCTGCCTTTTGTTTCATAATGTGTGGCCCGCACTGAGGGTACTGAGGGTAGTGACGTGTGTGTGCAGCGCTCGGTGCGCACGGAGATAACGTTCGACTTCCACCGGCTGGGCGTGCTACTGCTGCGCGCCGCGCTGCACGACGGGGCGCTCGTCGCGCGCAAGATCGCCACCGCCACCATCAGCGAGGCTCGCATCCAGGCCACCGTGGGTACGTAGCCTCCGCCAGCCAGGCCGCGGCGGCCGGGCCCTGGCTGAGCCCCGACTGTGCGCAGATGGCAGCCGCGTGGAGGTGGGCGGGTCGCTGGGCGGCGTGGGCGTGGTGTCGCTGTGCGAGGGCGGCGGCCTGCACACGCGCGTGCTGGCGGCGGGGCAGGCGGGGCGCGCGGACGCGGCCGACGCGGAGGACGCCAAGGCGCTGCAGTTCAGCATCGCGCGGCAGCTGCGCGAGGGCGCCGTGGAGGCCAGCGTGGCGCTGCACGTGGCCAGCGTCTGGTACACGCACTCGGGCCCGCTGCTGCGCGAGCTGCGCTCCTGCCTCACGGAGTTCAAGCAGTACCTGGCCAACCTGGCGCGCTCCATCCGCGCCGCCGCCGCAGACATGGCCATCGGCCTCGTGCACCCCAGGTGACTATGTTACTTAATTACCATATTCGTGTCAATCTGTTAGTGGCTTTATGTTATTTGTTCAATTTGAATAGCAAGCAACAAGATGGCAAATTGCTAAAATCGAAAAGGACGTGGAGAAGTTAGAAAGAAGTGGAGAAACCAAGAAGAGTGTAGAAGATCGTAGATGCTTCAACGCCGTTCCGGGATTAAAAATGAATTAAAAAAATGAGTACTGTTTAAAAATGTTCCAGGGGTGAGTCATTGTACGTGAACCCAAAGCTGTCGCAGTCGACGGAGGGCGTGTCCCCGCGGCGGCGCACGGTCAGCCTCGGCGCCTCGCTGGACGAGCCCGCCGCGCTCAAAGCCGACAACATCGTGCTCAGGTAGGCGGCGCCCCCCCAGCCCTGGCGGCGCTGGCGGGCGGCAGCTGACGGGGGCCCGTGTTGCAGCGTGAGCATCGAGCTGGAGTCGCCGGTGGTGGTGGTGCCGCGGCACGCGCACAGCACGCAGGTGTTCGTGGCGCACCTGGGCCGCATGAGCCTGAGCAACCGGCCGGGCGCGCCGCGGCGCACGCGCTACAAGGTGCGCGTGCGCGACATCTCGCTGGCGTCGCTGGACGTGGGCGAGCGCCTGCGGCGGCAGGCGGCGTGGCCGGAGTCGGCGCTGGACGTGTACGACGCGGCCGCCGGCAAGCCCGTGCTGCACAACACCGCGCTGCGCCTCTCCATCAACTACTGCGACCCCGCCGCCGGCTCCGACGCCGACTACCAGGTACTACGTGTACCTTCTCCTTGTCTTTGAGTTTTTTTTTATTGATTATAGGTTTTGGGCACGGGCTGTACGTTAGCTTGCTTCCATGCATTCGGCACTTTTCCAGCCTCAAGTGACAGCCTAAATAGGCGTGTCAGGATTGGAGTCAATTCTGGCGCACACGTTTTCAGCACGATTGCCGGTATCCCGTCAGGACCGCTAGCCTTGTTCACGTCTAGGTTACGTAGCACCCTACGTTCTACGTCTCACAACCATCAGGATAAGCAGGGGACCGCGCGTCACCGGGATCTAGACGCGAAGATTCCGCGAAGAGGTCGGCAAACAGATTTGCTTTCTCCTCAGCGGTGTGGGCCAGCGAACCGTAGAGCCTCAGCAATGGCGGTAGTGAGGGGCGGCAGAAGTTCGATTCAACCGACTTAGCCAAAACGCTTTGCTACCAGCGGGTATGAAGCAAGTTTGTTCCCGATGCGGCTGATGTGGTCGAATTGAGACCTCCGCATTGCCTTCTTACAAGACTTGGCAGCACTGTTGAAGGCTCTCTTCTTCTGACTCACGTCACTCGCCTTACGCATGCGAGCGTTGACCCAGGCCCGGTATGCTTCGTGTTTAAGCGCATAGCGCGATCACATTCAGCACCAAACCACGGACGAGCTTGGCTAGACATTGTCACGTCGGAGAATGGAATGTAGTACTCCATCCCCCGGCGCAGCACATCCGCCACAGCATCTACGCATGACGATGGATCATCCGAAGAAAAGCAAGTAGGCTGAGTCTTAGTATCGATCGGTTTATTATTGGAAAAAGACTTTATGAGGTACTTGTGGGTAAACAAACGATGCCCCAACTCACACACTCATAATTCCAAAGTAGTTACTACAAGTTGCCGACCTTTTATGGGTAATTGCGATTCAGGGCAAGGAGATTCTGGGATTGTGATTGAGGGACTAGATTCTGAGACTAGATTCTGGGATTGAGAATGAGGGATTCTGGGATTGAGAATGAGGACCAGGTAACTTCGCGGTACATCGTTGCGTTTACGCCCGCAACCCCACCTGGATAACGGCTGATGATTCAATGAGCGGGTTAACCGTAGTTGGGGTTGATGCGGCTGTGTTGTAATCAAACTTAGGGTAAGGTATTTATAATGTTGTTTACATTGCAGTGCGAGGTGCACGGCAGGGTAGTGGGCGGGCTGCACGTGTCAGCGCGGCGCGAGCAGTACGAGCAGCTGCTGGAGACGCTGCGCTGGGTGAGTTCGGAGACGCCCGACGTGGCCGACAGCGGCAGCCCCGCGGGCCCGCAGCGCGAGGCCGGCGCCCTGCTTGAGGGCGCCGTGCGCACGCTGCAGCTGGACCCCGCCGTGCGCGCCGCCGTGCTGGCCGTGCCGCCGCCGCCCGCGCGCGCGCCGCCCGCGCCGCTGGCGCCGCTCACAGGTACGCGCCGCCCCGTTTATTTCATTAAAAATCGTACTATTTGTCCGATGTTTTTGCAATAAATAAAACACTGATAACCTTTAATATAATTTATTTTTTTCTTTTAAAACATTTCATATATAATTTTCTCGCTTTCCACTTATACGAATCCGTATCATCATCACACTCTCTCCTATTTAGTAATATTTTATTTATTTCTTTACAGTAGTTATAAATAAAGAATCTGCAGGATATGTTAATTAAAAAGTCTATTATTTTTTCTTTGTGTAATTCACATTTGATCCAATCAAATTGGATGTGCATAAATATGACTGTTTTAATTAATTCTTTCAAATGATTTTTTTCTAAACACGTTTTAATAATTGCATAATTTGTATCCTGCAGATTTGAGACACAATTTAGGAGAGAGTCGCTGGGACTGCAAAGCCATTTTTTATTTGCGTATTCTCTGTACTTTAGGTACTCAGGTTCCTGATTGGACATCAAATCTTTTTTACATTCATTACAACCCTTGAAGACTTTCTTCTTAGCGATTTTAATAAAATATCCGCTAACATATTGTAGCCCCCCGACTATTCGGGGGCCACTTTTGTCTTCAAGGGGTGTAAATTCTATGTCAGGAATTTCACTGAGGTCGCAATTTATTTGTTCTTTACAGCCCCCGCTTGTGATGAGTACTTTATGCAAAGTGTGGCAATTATCCACCTCACAATTTGCCCCAGCGGCATGGACACTAGTTACGCTGTTTATTAATAAACTGCTAAATGCTGCTTCAAACCCATCTGGAGTAGGGTTTACGTTGCGGCATCCTTGGCTCCTTATTGATCCGAAAAAGTTTTCTATTGGATCCTGATTCAGATGCCTCAACCAAACCGATGTTACTCCGTATTTCGCAGCAATTTTTTTTAAAAGTAGTTCAATACCTTCTAGTGTCCATACCCAATTATTTAATGAACATACTCAACACTTGAGGTGTTCACATTCAAAAATTTCATATTTTTTAAAAATATTTTGGCCTCTGTCCAGGTTTTGTGATGTACAGAGTTAGGCGTCGCAGGTCCCAGAAGAGGTTTGCTATGCTTCTTCCTTTTTCCGTAACTTCCGTTCACTGAGTCGAAAAGTGTATCAAAAAACAAGAGGACATCCTTAGTACTTTGCGCATCTTCGGAGATTATTCCTTTCTCTGCAAAAAAAAAGAAAAAGAATTTTTTTTAATATTATTATCCCTTACACATTCTCACAAGATAATCTAGTCCCAACCTATTATATAGGTATTGCTTGCTTGTGATTTGGGTACCAGACAATAAATATACTAAATATCATATCTTCTACCACCTACCTATAATAACATGACATAGTGTACATAGAAACACCCACACCCATGCTTGACTAATGCGGGAATCGAACCCACGACCTCCGAAGTGGCAGGCAGATACATTAGCTACTAGTCATCAATAAAAAAAAACTTGTTATTATATTGTTAAATCTGCAGGGCAATTGCGTAACACACTCATCATCTCAGCGCTAATCCCTGTCGCAACCGAAGCTTTTTCAGATTTGGACTCTGGGGTCCACTTTACTGACGCTTTTGATTGCGTAACACATTATCAGTATTAGCAATAAGATTCACTTTGACAGTTTACCAATATTCATTGCGTTGTTTATGTTGTTGATCAGACACATTTTAAGAATATACGGAGTAATGGATTAGTAATTAAAAAAGATTTTTTTTAATTGGACCTGGGATTGACCTTGGAGATTGGATTGTTCTTTAGATTAGCACATTCAAGCAAATATACAAGCTATTCAGGTTTATAATACATATTAGTATAGATAAAACAATGCAATGTGAAAACATTATGTAATAAAGACCATTTACCTGCTAGGTAGCCCATATTTGATGCTACAGTTTGGCTGAACAGTTGCGTAGCAAATTTCACCTTCATTTTGGGAATTTTGCTGGGAGCTTACAGTGTGAGTCTGTCAATTTTGGCACCAGTCTTATGCCTTTGTAGCCTGGATTTTCGTTATGCAGTGCGGTTATGTGTTCCCACTTTGCCATTAAAATTTTGTTGTCTTTTTTATATTGTAGATTTTTTGTAATTAAATTATTTCGAATACATTTAATCAAGTGAGGTGGGTCGTACAAGGGAATGATCTCCTGGTTATTTATTAAAATAATATTTCCCTGAGGTTCTTCCAATTTTCTTAAAAGAATACCTCTTGTCTCTTGCAACAGGTATTTGATACAGTTTACATTATTTGTACCTTGGTCACACACTGTTGCTACCACATTAAGACCAGCAATTTGAAGTTCTGTGATGACAGCCTTTAATTGTTTTGCCAGTTCCGGTCCCTTTGTTGCAGATTGAGAAAAGGTGTAGGCAACAGGTTGCTTGAAATTTTTTAATAGTCCTCGTATCATAAATACCTGAGCATGATCTGCATATTCAGGCAGTGTCTCTTGTCCATTGGTTACAAACCCGCTCACCCTGTCTTTCCTTTCATTGTATGCCACATTAGGTTTCAGTGACATTTCGTCGAAAAGAACAACACATAATTTGTGCTCTGGTTTCATTTTATGTGTGGCTTTTTGTACTTGCGCCATCAAATTTTTATTGATGCCAGCATTTATATCTGCCATGTGAATTAATTTTATTAAAATTTGACGTGATGGCAGGATAAATATTTTCCTCAGGAATCTGTATCCTTTTGGGCTTTGTTTGAGGATAGTCAATGCTAGAATTTTTTCCTCCAATGTGAAACGCCGGCCTTTTACCTCCTTTTTGTGCTCCCTAAATTGCAGCAAAGTTAAAATTTTGGATGTGCTGGACATTTTGTCCAGAGTTTCCAAAAATTGAGGATTTGTGGTAATATTTTGTAGGGCCTTGATCTTGATTGCCTGCTTTTTAACCTTGTTACGGCATTTGCTGAGTTTCACACCAATTTGCAACATTTTCTGATGCAGAGCACGCTCAGTTTTTGTAACAGCAACCCGTTTTACTAGCTTCCTACTAGCACGTTTTACGTGTACGTGGCAATGAACTGAAAAAATAATAAGAATCATATGAATTAAAATTACTGAATATTTAAGAGTACATATTAGTAGAAAGTGTAACAAGCAAACTCAGATTTGCAAATATTATACATATTAAGTTTGAATGCAATTGTATTACTTACCAAGATCTTTCACCACTTCTACATTTTCTCCTTCACTATGACACCGTCTATCACTATGTATAGACTGAGATTGGGAAGCGACAGGTTCTGAAAAGTCATTATCATATTTGGTAAGAAATGTGTGAATATTCTATACAAATTAAGGTGATGGTGATGATGAATGTAGTAGTTCTGATTGAGTAACCATTTTTTGAATCTGATTGAAATAATGAAAGCCATTGCACTACTAGACAAGTTACTTTTATATATTTTATAATGGAATCATATCCATTATTACAAATATAAGATAAAAAGTATAAAATGCAATTTTACAAACTGTATTTCACTAATCACTCTTGTCTTAAGGGATAAGTCTCAGAGAGGCTAGTTTAATCTTTACTAATATTATAAGTCAGGAACAACAAAAATAATTAAATTAAAAATGCATTCTGAGTAAGTTAGCTCATTTATCAAGAGAGGCTACATTCTAACAACATCATCATCATCATTTCTGCCGAAAGACGTCCACTGCTGGACATAGGCCTCCCCCAAGGTTCTCCACGACGACCGGTCCTGCGCCTCCCGCATCCAGCGGTTTCCCGCGACCTTCACCAGGTCGTCGTGGTGGTCCACCTTGTCAGGGGCGTAGGCGTAGGGCGTAGGCGTGGGTAGCCACGCTACGTATTTCGGTGCGTGGTCGCCACTCGAGAACCCCTCGGCCCCATCGGGCATCTGTCCTATGGTCAATGTGTCCAGCCCACTGCCACTTTAGTGTTGCAATTCTTCGGGCTATGTCGGTTACTCTCGTTCTTTAACAACATGATGCAGGTAAAATATTTTCTGATTAAAAGCTTGTATGTAGGATCACTCACCAAGATTCTCTTTCATTTGTACATCTATGTTTGAACTTTGTGGATATATATGTGGAGGCACAGGTTCTGTAATAATATTGGGTTATTAGTATATATTATATTAATATTCTATAATTTATTGCTAGTGTAATGTGTATAAATACTTAATAGATCATTCAAAAGTTCTTCATTTTCAGCCTGTTTTGTTGAAATAAATGATTTTTTAAATAAAATGCACATTTCTAATGGAGTTGAAACATTTTTGCAACAACAGTTTTGTTTAACCAGTGAATATGATGTGTGAAGCAAATTTGTATTATATATACATAAAAAAGAATTGCTCACTTATATGTATATGACAAAATATATATACCTTTTGATGTAGATGGTTTTGACATCTGAAGAGGTCTTAATGCTCTTTTTTCCATACTGAATTTTGAGCATGACAGTCCTGTAACAAACAATAAAATAACATGGATTAAAAATATAACTGCGGAAAGTAAAATAGAAACACTCTTTAATTATATGACTACATACAGAAATTATCTATTCAGATGCTTTAGACATTCTCATTGTACGGACGACAGCAACTCAATCTACTACAATCTGTCAGATTTCCTTATTAGATTTTCAACTTTATCTCTAAAGCATTAAGGCTCAAGGTTGATTGGGAGTAGCTGACAGAGTACTTTAAATCAAAAATAAAATGACTATTTCTTTTTAACATCGACTCTCTTAGACTTAAGGGAAACAGTAACCTTAATTTGTGTATTTTATTGTAACTAACCTGGCATGTTCTTCGTTGGTACAGCTCCTTTAGCAAGTCTGTTATTCCGGCACCAATATTTTGGTTCGAAATGAACATGACAGACGCGACGGTACTTGAAAATATGGTTATTTTCAAGTTGCAGAATGTCACCACCAATAGAGTAGACCCATGTGTTAAATAGCTGCCTATCCTTATCTGGATTAGGGAATTTATGAAAATTCCCCGGCCCCGCGGTGTCTGGAAAAAGGGGGCGCATGTTAGTATTCAGTGGAGTCATGACAAAACGACGACTATCTGTTTCATAGACGTGAATAAAACTTACCTAAGCTATTTGCACATCCGGGAACACAACACTTTCTATTAGACATGATAAATAAAAATATCACGAAACGGCTCAACGAGTCCTATCTCAAGCACAAAATTCACAAGATCTCGGTCACCTTATGCACAAAATCGACACGGCCGAAGGAGCAGAGGCTCAACTTAACGGACTTAGGTGGATATAAAGCAATAAGGGGGATAAAAATCTGGAAAAAACAAACAAGACACCGAAAAGCACTGCAATGCAAACCGGCAGCCACGTTTGCTTTTTTTTTTATTATTTATTTCATGAAATCATGACCATGGATACAAGTCCTTCAGTCGAAATCTTAAAGTATTTTTAAAACATACATCCATGTTTATTTGATTTAATATTTATTCAGATTTATTCATTTATCTTTAGGTTTACATTTTATAATGTTTCATGTGGAGAATAGATTAAATGTTGCAAATAGAAAAGTTTTGAGCCAAATTTTATTTTATTTTATTTCTGAGTAATTAATAAAAAAACATTTGATTTCACCAATTGCCTCAATTTGCAATACAATTTTTTTTATTAATGATTTAAACTGAAAATCAAGACTAAAAAGACAGGGCTAAAACAGAACCAATAAAATATGAGATAGCGCCCTCTTACGCACCTTAGTATAATTACTACGCAATCACACATCATCAGTATTACAAATAACGCCATCTACACCGAGGTTTTGTAAATTCCTTACATTATAACACTTCCAAATTAAAATGTCACTTTCATGTGAGGACATCAATTAACTTACTGTCTCACTTCATTTAACAGAATTATAATGATACGTTTTCTCGTTTGCCACTATTAAGATTGTCACCCCTGCTCCGCAGTGAACTTCGAGCTGCCTACGTTCAGCGTGGAGCTCCGTGCCGACTTGGGCGAGGGCGAGAGAAGTCTCGTGGAGCTCTCCTTTAGAGAATTCAAACTAAAATACCAGAAGACACACCCTTACGAAAATATGTTACAGGTAAACCTTGGTTGCCTGTGTACTGAATATGGAAAGTTATTGGATCAATATTAAATGTTAATTAACTTTTCAAAACGATCGTGTAGGTGTCGTTGCACTCGATAACAATGGAAGACCTTACTAAAGAGCCGGACTCGAAGCACCGCATGTTGATGGTGTCCCACACGCCGCAAATGCCCCCGAAGGCCGTGTTCGTGTCCAAGTCGTGCCCGGACTTCGTGACGGAGTACCCGGACGACATGTCCAGTGTCAGCTCCCTGCAGTACATGAAGTGGTGCTCCTGCTCCCTGCCCAGCCAGCTTAACGTACTCACTAGAGAGGTGAGGATGTCGGTGGTGTCGTGTTTGGCGGCTAATGTAGTTGCAAATTCGTGATAGTAATATTTTGCGATGGTAGAGCAAGGAGCGCCGCAACAAGCGTGACAGTAAGTGCGCGCCCACGCCGCCGTGCTCGCCCGAGTGCGGCGCGCCCTCGCCCGCGCCCGCAGCGCCGCGACCCACCGCCGACCCCGCGGAGCACTCCGATCCCGCAGACCCCATCGATGCAGCCGACCCCGCAGAGTCTACTGACCCCTCAGACAACCTCGTCTGGTTGTCCGTACACACGCGGGACCCGCACCATCCGCAATTTGCCGACAAATACGACAAGGTGCGTCCGTTCATACCACTCAGCCTCTCTGGCGGCAGATTGCTGTCATGAATATTTCAATCATGTCTAATTTTTTAGTTTTTGCATTTTATAGATTGTGCTGGTCATGTTTTGTTTAATGATACTAGATATCGAAACTAATAAAAGTGGACTTCAACTGCCTCAACCTGGTGGTGAGCATCGACAGCTGGGTGGCGGTGCTGGACTTCTTCGGCATCGCCGGCGACGACGCGACGGACGGGCAGCACGGGCCCGAGCCCCCGAGCACCGGTAGGTACGGCGACAACGCGCGGCCCCGCCCGCGGTCCAGCGGAATGACTCGTGCACGTGGCGCTTGCAGAGAGGGAGGCGGGCGGCGCGGGCGGCGCGTGCTCGCAGACGGAGGTGTGGGTGCGGTCGCTGAGCGTGGTGGTGGTGGCGGGGCGCGGCGAGGCGTGCCGCGCGCTCGTGTCGCGCGCGCGCGCCGTGTGCCGCGCCGACGCGCGCGCCCACACGCGCCGCCTGGCGGGCCGCCTGGGCGCGCTGGCGCTCACCGACCTCACGCCGCACTCCGCCCTCTGGCGCGATCGCTTCCGCACGCACGCTGACCACGCGCTCACCTTCCAGTACCAACGGTAACTGCACCCCCTCCTCCTTATACGTACCGTCTCCGTTTCTGTACGCTGTCGTTAATGATCTATTCCTCGGCATCACCAGGTTGAGCTCTGCCGAGGCGGCCGCCGCGGGCCACGAGACCAGCCTGAGTATAGAGATGGGTCCCGTGACGTACGTGCACACCAAGCGATTCGTACAGGAGCTGCAGGCCTTCGCCCGGGACTTCAGTCTGCTACGGAAAGTCATAATGCAAGCAAGACTTAAAGTGAGTTATCGTTGTCCTTGTAAAGCGGTGTAGTTTGTGTGAAACATCGTGATTGGTCCTTAGTCTGATTTAGGTAATTCGAATTCTACATAAACATTATTTTGTAACAGAGGCGATGGAAGATCTGATTCAAAGTTCAACCTCTTTTATCGAAATCTGGGAGAATTTAGGAGACCTAGTGAAGTTCCAAATATGCGAAGCATAGAACTTGATGGCTTCAGGCAAGTCTTTGAGCAGAGAGTGATAGATTTTCCGTGTGTCATCCATAGACAGCGATGATAAGTGGAAGCATTTCAAGAAGACGGTTGAAAAGATCGCTACAGAGAATAAGCTGGAAAAACGTCATGAAAGAGTTCATTACACCAGAGACAGTCCAAATCATTCTTGAGAGACGTGAACTTAAAGAACGTGGTTTATACTCACTCGAAGATCTGCAGCGGTATTCAGAACTTAGCCGCCAAATCCAACTACTTTGTTGTTTCCTATCCCTTGGACCAATTATCTGATAGTTTTAGGTCCCAGAAACGAACAAAAATATCTTTGGAAATATGCTTAGAAGTCCAGGGAAGTATTCAATGAAAATACGGAAAAATTGCATTTAAAGTATTAAATTGATTTGACTTATATTTTTGAAACGGTACGCTTCAAAAATATAAGTCAAATCAGTCTCTAAGTGAGCTAGTATTTTGTAAAACTGTTCTAGCACTTCTACTATTCCACTTATTTCTCCATATCGTTAATGATTTTGATGAGACATTTTCATTGAAGGTTTCAGTAGTATCCGGCGGGTCTGGCACGGACGGCGCCCGGCCAGCTCGCATGAAGCTGAACGTGCGGTGCACGGCGCCCGTCATCGTGCTGCCGGTGTCGGGGCGCGCGCGCAACGCCCTCGCGGCGCACCTGGACCAGCTCACCCTGGACAACAGCTTCAAGTACGCGGGCTCGGAGGGCGGCGGGGCGCTGCTGGACGTGCGCAGTGTGCGGCTGGCGGGCGTGGCGCTGTGGTGCGCGCGCGGCGGCCGCGGCCTGCGCGTGCGCCGCCGCGGCGCGCCGCTGCTGCGGGCGCCCGCCGACCTGCGTCTGCGCATCGAGTACAACATGGACGCCGGCCACGCCGGTACGCTCGCCTTCCACTCTTCTGCTCTACCGGCTCTAGTTAGCTCTTATTAAAGCCGGCTGTCCCGCAGTGCCGGACATGACGGTGCAGGGCTCGCTGAGCACGCTGCAGCTGGCTCTGGACCCGGCGCAGTACCGGCTGGTGCGCGGTGTGCTGGCGCACAACCTGGCGGAGTGCGTGGACGACCTGCTCCCGCGGGACCTGCCGCACCACCAGCCCGAGCCGCAGCACCAGGACGTAAGCCCCTCATTTAATCCCACTTATTGGAAGTGTACACAAATACGTAATTATTTTTTCTACGCTCCTTATACCTTGTATACATCCTAGGTGTGGACGACCAGCTCCTTGAAACTGGACCTACATGACGTGACGGTGAAACTAGAGCCGGAGCACGGAGTATCGTCCCTGGCTTGCATCAACTTCATCAAGTCCAGACTCGTGGTAGAAACGTACTCGGACCTCAGCCAGGACATAGACCTCGTTTCACAGGTTCTCTTCAAACCTTACACTTAGATTATAGTAAAACAGAGAGTGTGATATAATCGGCCATACCGCCCGCAGGAGATCCTAGTGAGCGACACTCGCTTCGCCAAGGAGCCCGCCAACCGGCGCGGCAACGTGTTCAGCCACATCGTGCAGCCCATGGCGGAGCAGCGCCACAGCGTGCAGGCCGAGGTGCACGCCAGGTACTGTACTCCCTCTCCTCCTCCCTTCCGCTCCCTCTGGCCTCTGCTGAGCTTCGTTGACGTGTGCCGTGTGCTCTCATCCCCAGAAAGCGGCGTGACTCCTCCGCCTACACGATCCTGGTGAACAATATGCGCCTGATGGCGGTGCTGGACTGGTGGGAGTGCGCCAACCAGTTCATCATGCAGCCCCCGCCGCCACCCGCTGACCCAGACCAGGCTCATCTGTCAGTGCTCGCACTATCTATGCCACAATATTTTGAATATAATGACCATTTGATGGTTTTAGGTTTATGCAAAGTTAGGACTTACTCACGTAGTTTCAAATCACAACGGGACTCTTATTTATCTAATAAATTAATTTAGTTTCCCTCACGATAGTTACTAAAACGGTTTTAGGTTTATGTAGGTAATAGTTGTGTTTGATGACAGTGAGGAGGCACTCTGCGCTATGCGCAATGCTGCCAGCCCGCACCCTGCAAAGGCGCAAGAGGAGCCCCTCATGGAGTTGAAGCTTAACGTGACGGATTCTCAACTGGTGCTGGTGGAAGACCCCTCCGTTTGGGACACTAACGCCGTCATACTTAGGGTACGTACAGTGGCGACGTAATATGCCTGAGAAGGTGGCCGGCGACAGAAGCAGGCTGAAGAGTGCGGTTTGTTGCAGAGTACGACAGTGATTACGTACCGGTGCGCGGACGCCCAGAAGCCGGTGTCGTGCGAGCTCAACGAGCTGGAGGTGTTCTCGTGCGTGCTGGGGCTGGAGGAGGAGACCGCGCTCTCCATCGTCGACCCTGCCGCCGTGCACGTCGCCATCGACGCCCAGCGCGTGCTCCATGTAACTCGTCCTGCAGCCTCGTAGTGCCGCTCAGCCTTCCCTCTGCCACGTACTGAAGGGCCGTGTTTCAGGTCGCGATGAGCACGCTGAACCTGCGGCTGTCGTACCACGACATGCGGATGTTCGCGGCCATGCTGCAGTCTCTGCCGGTGCAGGCCAGGGCGGCGCTGGCGGGTGACTATACATACATACGCTCTTACATTTATTTTGTTAACCACTACTCGCGGTCTAACTAGAAACTTATTTACAGGCTACTCTTTCTAAGTCTAGTAAAGTTGCACCTTTGACCATGCCATGAAGGATGTTTTGGAATTGTTGCAATGGAGGCTTCTGGTGTTTTTGTTCGCCAAGCCTCCTCCTCCTTCCGCGCAATAGGGAGTTTTTGACAGCTACAGCACAAATGTATATTTTAACAGGTAAATTGTTGGTATCGGAGGAAGATGCAGACGAGCCAGCCAACATCGTGCACATGCGGGCCGGCAGCGGCGCGGGGGCCGCGGGGGCGGGGGCGGCGGGGCGCGGGGGCTGGATGTGCCGGCCGCGCTGGCTGCGCGCGCAGCCCCCGCAGGCGCCGCCGCCGCAGCCCAAGCCCTCCACCTCCATCTGGCCGCTCAAAGCTGTGCAGGTCGCGTGCTTGTCGTATACTCTCACTATTGGTAGCACTTGCCTTTCTGCTTTATCCCCGGTTATTTCGGGTTCACGTAACGTGGCAGTTTGCGTAACATGTTTACCCGCACTCCCCACTGTAGGTAACTTGTAAAACAAGAGGATGATAAAAGTATGAAAATGTATGATGTGACAAACTGCCACCGAAATTAGTTAATACATCGTATAATTATGTCACTGCGAACCGTTGACGGGCGAGCGCGACTCGCACAAGCAGTGGTTGAGTGGTTGAGTGGTTGTGTCGCGGCGCAGGTGGCGGCGGACTGCATCACGCTGTGCGTCATCGACGACTGCCTGGACTCCGACGTGCCGCTGCTCGAGGTCTCGCTCAGCGACCTGCACGTGGACCAGGTACCAACGTCATCGTTACTTCTTTCTTGAATCGTCATTTGTGCCTTTTTATAACTTTTGTTATGTTTAACGGCTTATTCGCATAACTCATATATGAGTCGCATTAGGCGACGTTCGCCGCGTCGTGTGTCGCTAGTCGAGTTCTAATTAACCTTTTGTCCGGCTGTACTAAACCAGGCTATGAGATCACTTCTTAACACATCTTTGGATGGAACCAGGACTTGCGTAAAATAGAGGAGTCGTTTGAGGACCCCATGTTGGTGTCGACCCCCGCGGGCCCGGGCGGCGCGATCGTAGCGCGGGGCTCGGGCGCGGGCGGGGGCCGCCTGGCGGCGCTGCTCACCGTGGACTACTACAATCGCACGCTCTCCGGCTGGGAACCTGTCGTCGAGCCCTGGAGGTAAGCTCGTTCATTTTTTACTTTTACAAAATACATGTATTGACAAAAAGTCGATTTCGGCTGGAAACATCCTTAATCTATTGATCAGATTCGAGACATCGTGGGAGTATACTCTGACGAGCGAGCTGTCACTGGGGCGGGTGCAGGTGGAGGTGGCGTCCACCGAGGTGCTGAACACCAACGTCACCTCATCCCTCATCGAGCTGGCCGAGCTGGTGCGCGCCAACTGGACCGCGGACTACTACGCGCCGCAGGTACATACCGATACACAACATGCCACTCACATTTCCATCAATCATATTGTACGCCCGTCGGCGTTGTGCCGCCATCTTGTATATCCAAAATGGCTTGCGGCTGCCGCCTACTCACTCGGGCCTTGCAGACGCTCAGATTATACCCTTTATAGACAAGCATGGCTCATCCTCATCAGTCCCGAGGGCTAGCTATGTATTGAAGCGTGTGTTTTGTTTACGTAGTCATCCGCAACGCAGGAGCAGTCTCCCAAGGGCAGTCCGTCAGGTCACCGGCGGCGCTCGCCCTTCGTGCCCTACGCACTGCGGAACCACACCGGGCACCGACTCTTGTTCACCACGCTCGTCACCACGTCCGATGAGTGAGTACTGGCTCGGACCCGCAATACACTCGGGCTGCTTCTTCTAGCGACGCATGCTGTAAATATGCCACGACTGTAGGTTGCGAGAGCAGACCAGTTGTTCGGAACCGGACGACTCGTGGATGATGGTGCGCGCCGGCGACACGGAGCCGTTCTCGTTCGGGCAGCGGCGCGGCCGGCGCCGGGGCCGGGCGCCCGGGGCCGCGCCCGGCCAGAACGCTGCGCTCAACCAGCTCGCGCTGCGCCTCGACGGCTGGTCGCCGCCCGACCCCGTCTGTGTCGACAGGGTCGGCGTATTCTTCAGGAACCTTACATACACAGTAAGTCGTTCGTGTGACGTTAGTGGTGTTGTTACATCCATCGCTTGGATGTCTTTGAATGAGTTACATTCGTACTTACAGAAGTCCGGCGCCGAAGCTCGCATAGTATTCGAAGTGTCTCTGGAGGGGTCGGCTCGCAAGCTGGTGACGGTGCGGTCGGCTCTGCAGCTCGTCAACAAGCTGCCGCACCCCGTGGAGGTCAGGGTGGACCACGCGCCCTCGGCAGGTGAGACCTACATGCGCCTGGCACTCGGCTGTGAAGTAGGTGCCCCAGTAGTGGGTCGCACGTGACAAGGATAGCGGTGACGTGCCTGGCGTGCGCAGAGCGCGTGTACGCGATGGCGCGCGCGCTGCTGGCGCTGCGCGGCGCCTGCGCACGCCTGGGGGCGCGCCACGCCGCCGCCCCGCGTCGCCACGCCCCGCACCCGCTGCACCCTATATTTGTCAACTGCGGTACTGTCACCCTGCGCCATACTCTACTGCCCGCACACACTATCACTTCATCTGTACGACCTTACTTGTAGTTGCGTAGAATATTTCAATATTACAAAATATCTTAGGTACTCGTTTGTTTATACGTAAAAGTAATGACATTAGTGTACATGGTTAATATTGGTTAGGTAATTTATTAGTTGAAGTTCGCGTAAATTAGATAGTTGTAAAATATATTAATTTGATGTTGTTAAACATTCTAAAAAGGGTTTACGACCAGTAGTTAGTATTGTTATGATTAGTATGGATAACATTGGTGCTCCCATGCTTCGTGCAGCTGCATGGAGCGGCGGCAGCGTGCGCACGGCACAGGTAGGCGCGGGTGCGACGTGGGCGGCGCCTCTGTCGGCGCAGCCCGCGGCATTGTGGACACGCCCACTGCTGCGTGCGCAGGCCGCGCCTCCCGCCCCCTCGCCAGCGCCCATCGACTGGCGCAACGCCCCCGGTGACCGCGCCTTGCTGCACTACGAGTGTCGCGCCCCGCCCGACCATGTCTACAGGTGAGACCGATACCACTTTGCTTAACCAGAGGCGAACTAACAACGCCTACAATAACCTTGCTTGCTTTCTTAATGTTATAGATTCTGCTGCGTCATAGTCCGCGAGCGGTTCCCCCCAGACAGAGGTACGCCCATTGCTGGGCATACGTTGACTTTAGTACCGGCGCTGAGACTGGAGAACCTGCTGCCGCTGGAGCTGCAGTACCGAGCGTGTCCCGCTGTGCCCGGGACGACCACTGTGAGCGCATCCGGCAACATCCCTCCAGGAGACACCATGCCTTTCCACGAGGTATGTCTATGTAAACACGGCCGTCACATTGAACGCCACATGGTCACACAGTGTCTGCCATTTTCGGTCATGACTTATAAACATCAAACATAATGTAGCCACGCGTCGGCAAATTGCGTTGCCGGCCCTTTGGGGTATGGTGGCGCGCATAGAAGAGTCATATAAGGGGTCGCCATAATGGGTTATCAACGCATGACGCCACAAATCTAAAGAGGGTATGGAATTGACGATTTGGGGATTGGTTATGAAGGGGGAGAATTGGGTAGTTTCCAAGATTAATTTGACGTTTCAATACAATAAAATATTGAAAATTAAATATACTTTTATTCATCAATCGATCGATGTAATGAATTTTAGATTTTGTTTAGCTAATTATTAAGAAATAAGTAAATTTATATTCTATTTTTTATTTATTTCGTCGTTACATCATAACTCAGTTTTTCATACAAATTTCATAGAAAATTATAGTTTTTGACATTTGGATAAAAGTATTGAATTTGACTAGTTGGAAACTGCCGAATTGTGTCTCCGGGTACCTCACACTCACAGATACACAACGCATGCCTTGTCTCAGACTGGGCTTCTGTGAGAGTTGTAGTTAGAGCTGTGAGATCCTACGCGGGGTGTATGTTGATAAGTTTATGTTAATATATATGTATATAATTATATATATATGGTGCGCAGGTGAATGTAGAAGAAGGAGTTGAGTTGAGCGTGAAACTGGAGGGCTTCGGGTGGTCCACAGCGCTGATTGTGTGCGGGGCGGGCGGGGCCAGCAGCAGCGCCGCCGTGGGCGGCAGCGGGGGCGGCTCCTTCAGTGCACGCCTCAAGCTGCGGGACTCCCGCGCCAGGAGGCTGTACCTCAACGCCAGGGTCACCGTCAAGAAAACCGACGGCATCAAGGTATGTTGCAGGTTATTGCTCGTGTATAATTCCATATGGAAGGTTTGGCGCCAAGTTGAAACGTATGTCGCAGGTGTCGATATCGGCGGCGTACTGGCTGGTGAACCACACGGGGCTGCCCCTGGTGTTCCGCGCGGAGGGGGGCGCCACGGAGGCGGCGGGCCAGTTCGACGAGCACGAGCTGGCGCGCATGGTGCAACCGCTGCTGTTTTCCTTCGCGGAGGCCGACGGCGGGCCCACCATCTCCGCCAGGATCGGACGAGGCCTGCCCGGCACACCAGAGGTTACAAAACATTCATATCTTTCGTCTTAGCACAAAAAAACTACTACACCAGGTGTACAAATGATTAGTAAAATATCCTTACTTGATTACCGTTTTTGTCTCTGTCACACGTTAGCGTCGATGTCGTGGTCGTCTCGCTATCTCTGTCTTGGGCGCAGTCGATTACAAGGGTTTGGTTGATACTGTTAAGTTTTAGTATTACTGTATTTTTTGTTCAGTGGTTAAAATTCTTTCGTGTGTTATTTGTAAGTTTGCGTTGCCACAAAAATACAGTAACAAAGAATGACAGCAATTTTCTTTTTATATAGATAGTACATGCGCTAAAGTTGGCAGAGGCCGTGTTCAGACTCGGTAAGATACGTCGGCCGTGTTGTAAAGTACTGTAATGTCCGTCAGTGGTGCTCTCCGTTCGGATTGGGCGTGGGCGTGGCAGTGAAGAAATTGGAGGTGCGCGGCGAGGGCGAGGGCGGCGAGCGAGTGTTCGCGGTGGGCGTGCGCGTGCGCGCGGGGCGGGGCCGCTACCGGCACACCAACATCGCCACGTTCACGCCGCGCTACCAGCTGCACAACAACACGTCGCACCACCTGCAGTTCGCGCAGAAGTGCTGCGCCACCACGCTGGTGAGTGCGCGCCGGGGCGCCGCGCGGGGCGGGGCGGGCGGGGCGGCGGCGCTGACGCGGGCGTGTTGCAGACGGACCCGGGCGCGATGGCGACGCACGTGTCGGCGGTGGCGGGCTGCTCGCTGCCGTGGCACTGGGTGCGCTGGGAGCGGCCGCAGCTGCTGTGCGTGCGCGTGCTGGGGGCGGGGCCGGGGGCGGGGCCGCGCACGCACTGGTCCGGCGGCTTCCGCGTCGACGCCACGCGCGCGCTGCATCTCGCCTGCAGGTACACAGCCCTACGCGGACTCGATACTCATAACAACTTAATACTCATAAAGCGGCTCTAATCCCACGGCAATTAGGCACGTAATGCCAGTTTTCAGTTCTATTGTTTACTAGTGAGTAATAGATTTTTTTATTATATTTTTGGTTGGGTTACGCTTACATTTGCGCTAAAATGCTGTCCGCGTAAAGCCCACAAAAAGTCAACTCATTTTTTAATCTTTGGCCAATGCGCGCGCCTAGGGTTACTGATTAATTTTTCCCGTCATTACGAAATATTTGTATATACTATGTAAAGTATATTTCATTACTAGTACGGAAAGGCTGTCATTGCGAAGAGTTCCGACAAATGTGAACCCGAACCGAAGGCGAGAGTTGACAGTCGGAACGAGTTTGCCGGGAATTCCCTAAAAACAGCCCGTTTCTTTTTCACATACAAACGTTTTCTAACTAAAACGTAGAATCAATTTGGGCTTTATTGCTATTGTATAAAGTTCATAATAAATACACTGCAAAAATAACAAGCACTCACTGTTGTCTAAGAAATGTAGGTGTGTTCCTAACATCAAAAAGTAAATTTGTACTGTCTTACCGCTATACAAAGTTCAAATTGAAAGAAAGAAAGAAAGAAAGAAAACACATTTATTCGACAAATAGGCACACAAATACAAGTATATAAAAATACATAATAAGAACACAGTATTTATGAATACAATAATAAATTAATAAACAAAACAAGAATAACATATAAAGTATTAAAAAGTAATAAAACGTTAAAATAATAATATTCATGTGCCCATGCCAAAAGGGCCTCCACCTCAGCATATAGTTGAGCAAATATGCTCAACGCTGATTTTCAGGTGGCACCCTGCAGTGACTCACGTCACGGAAGGCGGTACCGCCACTCAGTAAAGAAAAGAAGTAAGAAACATAATGTGAATATAGAAGAAAGTGTGCGTGTGTGAAAATATTATCCAAATTATTCAGATATGAATACATTTTATATCATAATAAGTGAATACAATCTTTTTTTAAAATATGATACATAAGGGAGTTATGTTTTTATAATAACTATCGTGAGACATACTAAATTAACTAAAATTCGCGGGTTACTCACGTGCAAATGTCGAACTGAATGTATGAACGCGGCGACGTCGCGCAGCCTACTCAGTAGGCTGCGCGACGTCGCCGCGTCCGCGCACGCTGCTCATGAGGAAGAACCCCTCTGTGGTTCGAAACTAGTAGAGCTTTTCTCAACATTTGCACGTGAGTAACCCGCGAATTTTAGTTAATAAGGGAGTTAATTGCTACATGTACTTTTTTTAATTAACTGGGGGTTGTCGAAAAATGTTTTTGGCTATTTGTAGGTATACTAGACAGGTACTATTTAGTGACACCCGTGCTGAGCTCTCGTTCACTTTGTCGCGTACCCCCTCAAGGATACAGTTGCCCTCCACCAGCCACAGGACACAAAACTCAGGCAGCAAAGTTTACGAGTAGTGGAGTGATTGTAATAAAATAAATAAATAAAAGTAATGGCGAAGTGCAAGTAGTACAAACACCGTGATTACTCACACAAAAATGCAAAAACTTCCAAGTTAGTGTAAAAAGTAAGTAAAAATTGACTAATTTGGAATAATAAACTGAAATTAGATAAAAGACTTGTCAATATTCATGTCGCCGAATTTAATTTGAGATGTCATAATAAAAGATTTTAATTTTAACCTAAATGATTTTTTATTTTATTTTGAAAAATCAATCATATCTATCAAAACAGTGTGTATCAATTACACACTGTGAAAAATATTTTTTTATTACAGTTGCTCAAAAAGTGGCGTATTGCAGGGACGTGTAGCGTTCGGGATCTGGGCTATTTCACATTCGTGTTTTTTTTTGCCTTTCCCGCACTCGTGCGTTTTCTTTCCCAATTGTCAAAATAATTTATATTAAAAAAATCAACCATAAAGTTTTAACAAAATAATCATAGAAGTTTTTGCGATTCATGCAAATAGGTTTATTTGTTTCTAAAAAGAAGCTACCTATACTAAGTTGTCCAATATCAGAATTAATTATTTGATTGAAAGAGTTAGGTAAGGTTCCAGTTCATTTCATATCATTAAATTACAATTTCATTTCTTATAATAAAAAATACTAAGCACTGAAGACTTGGCTGTATGGGCAGTTACCTTTGTGTACCAGAATGGGTGAAAAAAACTGCTTACATTCTAGGGTTGGCGCCATTTTCCGAAATTTTCTTCGCGAGTTTAGTTGTTTTTGTGTTTTATAATTTGATTAAATTGCTTAATTTTTTCGCAACTGTATTAAAAATAGTCGTTCAGTACACGTACGGAACCGTCGTGAAAAAAGTACGGAAAGGCTGTCATTGCAACTCGTTCCGACTCTCGCCTTCGGTTCGGGTTCACATTCACATTTGTCGGAAATCTTTGCAATGACAGCCTTTCCGTACTTTTTTCTCGCCGTAAGAATCATCCTTGGACTTCAACGAACATCTTAAAAAAAGAATTGGCCAAATTGGTCCAGGCGTTGTTGAGTTATGTCTGCGCTTACAAACACACATTTTGCGATCAACTTTTAAATACAAGATTATTTTATTCTGAAATGTATTGAAGAATGTTGTATTACTATGATACACGTGTGTATTGACCTCGACTCCTTAAGACCCTCGCCTAACGGCTCGAGCCTCAATACTTCTCAGCGGTAATCAATCAACATAAGACACTTGTACCATAATGTACTATTTTTATTTCTACACTATTTAATTAATGCTATTAAACATATGTATACACCTTCCTCTGCAATCGGTCTACCTATAAAAAATAAAATCCGTTGCACAGTTTTAAAGAATTAAAATAAATGCCTCTATCTCTGTCTCTATGCCACTATGGCATAGAGACAGATAAACCATTTGTTTTATTGTAGCGGTTACGGTGACCGCGGTGTTCCGTCTACAACAAAGATTTATTTGTGGTTTTAGGGAGCCGGGTGGTGGGTACCAGTTCGTGCGCGTGGAGGTGGTGTCCCAGGGCGCCACCATGTTCGTGGTGCTGACCGACGCCGAGTGCGCGCCCCCCCCGCTGCGCATCGACAACTACTCCCCCGTGTCCATCATGTTCCACCAGGTAGGTGTAGGGTAGGTAGGGGCGGGCCGCAGACGGCGGCAGCGATGGACAGCAGTCAGCAGTAGCGTTGCGCAGGTGGGGTGCAGCGAGGAGTGCGTGGTGGGCGCGCACGGTACTGCGCGCTGGGCGCTGGGCGAGCCGGAGGGGGCGCGCGCGCTGGCGCTGCGGGCGCCCGGCGGGCCGCGCACGCAGCTGCCGCTGGACGCGCTGCCGGCGCACCACCAGCTGCTCTACCAGAACTTCATCTACGTCGCCTTCAGCGCCACGCACCCCTCCTACAGCGCCGGCGCGCGGCCCGCCCAGCACGCGGACGACGACGCCGTGCTGGTGCTGGAGGTGCCTCTGGGGAGCACGCGCGTCGTGCTGGCCAGGAAGCGGTACGGAGACAGGTATGCCTACTATTTCTTTTTATCTTTTACATTTCACAAGCTAGTTCTAATTGCTAGTATTTAACTTTGTGCTTTATTGTAGAATGATATCAACCTCGTAATATAGATTTATACTTGGACATGCTCTCATAACAGCGGTAAGACCCCTCATTGTGGAGTGGCTAGAGAGACGCCATGACATCCTTATTTTCTGCCCGATGCAGGTGCTTACCACGATAACGTTGGTAGATGTACCCAATGACGTATTATATATAGACACGTCATGAACCAACATCGCGGGGCTTAAAAACGGCGACAATACTAGATAACTACTTCTACGAGTAAAGAAAGGGAAAGAAAATATGACATCGTATAGTGGAATGCCTTTGCTAGAGGGAGATAAATATACATCTTCAGTTATGCCGACGGCACGTGACTATACCTTCATGCGCCGGCCGCCATAAGATGGCGGGCGCCGGCGTCGAAAAAAATAAAATAAAAATAGGTTGTTTGGTGAACTTACGCATGGAATGACACATTTTTGTCTTTAACTTTTGGAGTATAATTTGTACATCGTCTGAACACACACGACGACATGCTTTCTTTATGTTTCGCAAAGTTTTACACAAACGATATAAATTAAAAACAAACGTAGCGACGCGCGGCAGGTTGGTGCGTAACTAAGCGCGATGTTGTCAATTGCCTTCATTTCATGTTGCCATTTTAGAGCGCGGACAACGTATCTATAGTTTTATACATCATTGGATGTACCTGATTTGGTGTTGGCAAGGGTAGCTCGCCGTCCGATCAGAACCATACCCGAGAGTACGGCGCGTAGTGCTCCGCGCGTGGCGCAAAGATCCACCACAGACGACCAAGTGTGGGAGAGCCATGGCTTGGCACTAATGAATGACCAGCTCGACTGAAATCATACCACGGCTTCACACAAAATAGACGTGAATCAATCACAGCGTTGTATTTCGCCCTATGAGTGTGGTTACCGGAGGTCTAATTCGTTACCTACCCACTTTCCTCCCCAATCCTTAAACCTAAAAGGCCGGCAACGCACTTGCAGCTTGTCTGGCGTTGTGGACATACAGGGCAGCGTTGGTTGCTAGTTATCAGGTTACCCGTGTACTCTTTGCCGCCGTACCACATAAGAAAGGGCCAATCCTCAAATCCCCAATCCCTAACTTCCAAAAGGCTGGCAACACATTGGTGACTCTATAATATTGCTATCGTGGCTGTCTATGTTTTTTTTAGTTTATTGGCCGTTTGCTTACCATCTGGTGACGACTGCTCATTTGATTCTAGGAAATAAAATAAGTACCTGATATATGAATAAATTTCATGGCGCAGATCTCAGCTTTGGCGGCGCGGCCCCAACGAGCAGCTGATACACGAGGGCAGCTCCCCGCCGCAGCCGACGGATGTGTTGCTGTCGGACGACGCGCCGCTGTCGCCGCACGCCATGGTAAGTGTCGCAGCAACGCCTGCGGGCGGCGGCGGGGGCGGCGGGCGCCGCCTGCAGTGTGCGCGTGCGCAGGTGCTGGACATCGAGGACGCGGCGCCGCGGCCGGGGCGCGCGTCGGCGCTGGTGCTGCGCCGCGCCGACCCGCGCCGCGCCTCCACGCAGGCCTGGCGCCTGCTGCCGCCCGGCCGCATGGCCTGCGCACACGCCAACCTCTGCGTGCAGCCGGAAGGACTCTCACTCATGGCGCTCACACCAGGTGCGTATTAAAACACCAGCGCACCGACTAGTCCGGTGCTGTATATATCAAAATATCTGCAGTTCTAAACTTTGGATACTTATTAAAACATTCGATATTTTGGCAATCAGCCATTAACTGAAATGCTATATAATTAATATCCTCCTTTAGTAACCGTTGACACCTTCCAGCATGAAACTAATAATTTAATTTTGTGTTTAGGTACTCGAGTAGTGCTAGGACTACCAGCCTCAGGGCGCGCCGGATGGAGTCCGACATCGCCAGTTCCAGCAGAGCAGGCTGTGTCGTGGCACACGCTGCGGCCTGGCTCCGGCCGGCTGGACGTCACGCTGTGCGCCGACGGGCCCACGCGGGTCGTCAAGATACACGACCACAAGGAACCCGTACGTATGCTGCGCGCCCCATGCCGGTAGCGGAAGTTGGGCCGGTGCTGAGCCCCGTCATACTGCTGTGCAGGAGGCGGGCTGGTTGGAGGGCGGCGCGGACGCGGAGGAGGACACGACGGCCCGGCGGCGCGGCTGGGGGGAGTGGGGCGTACGCGTGTCGCTGGCGGGGCTGTCGGTGTCGCTGGTGTCGCGCGCGCCGCCGGCCGAGCTGGTGCACGCGCTGTTCGACGCCGTGCTGCTGGAGCTGGCGCTGCAGCCGCGCAGCCTCGCGCTGGCGCTGGCAGTCTCGCACATGCAGTGGGACAACCAGGTTAGCTCGCTACGCATGCTCTGTGTGCGCCTCGTCGTTGCCTGTTCTGTGTTGCTATACCTACTCGTTCGGTGGGCTTCAGTTGCTGGGCACGCCGAGCCCGGTGCTGCTGTACTGCCTGCCGGAGCGCGGCGGCAGTGCGGGCGGGGCGCTGCCCGCGCTGCACGCCGCCGTGGAGCTACAGCGCGCGCCTGCTAAGCGGTACAACGCGTACTTCTTTAAACATCTCGTCGTAGCACTGCGACCACTTGCCATACGATTGGAAGAAAGGTAAGTAGATAACAATATGTATTCTGTTATCTGCTGGAAATAAATCCATCAACACGTAACTCCTGTCCCACAGACTGGTCCTGCAGCTGTGGGCGTGGGCGCGCCTCGAGCAGGACGAGAGCGCGCGGGAGCAGGCCGACGAAGCGGACTACGAGACACGTCGCGTGCTGTCCGACCTCACCGCGCTGCACACCACGCGCTTCTACTTCGCGCTCATCAAGATCATCCCCAGCCAGGTCACAGCCCGCACTGCGCCCCCCTCCTTACATACCACACTGCCACACCACGCGCTACTACTTCGCGCTCATCAAGATCATCCCCAGCCAGGTCACAGCCCGCACTGCGCCCCCCTCCTTACATACCACACTGCCACACCACGCGCTACTACTTCGCGCTCATCAAGATCATCCCCAGCCAGGTCACAGCCCGCACTGCGCCCCCCTCCTTACATACCACACTGCCACACCACGCGCTACTACTTCGCGCTCATCAAGATCATCCCCAGCCAGGTCACAGCCCGCACTGCGCCCCCCTCCTTACATACCACACTGCCACACCACGCGCTACTACTTCGCGCTCATCAAGATCATCCCCAGCCAGGTCACAGCCCGCACTGCGCCCCCCTCCTTACATACCACACTGCCACACCACGCGCTACTACTTCGCGCTCATCAAGATCATCCCCAGCCAGGTCACAGCCCGCACTGCGCCCCCCTCCTTACATACCACACTGCCACACCACGCGCTACTACTTCGCGCTCATCAAGATCATCCCCAGCCAGGTCACAGCCCGCACTGCGCCCCCCTCCTTACATACCACACTGCCACACCACGCGCTACTACTTCGCGCTCATCAAGATCATCCCCAGCCAGGTCACAGCCCGCACTGCGCCCCCCTCCTTACATACCACACTGCCACACCACGCGCTACTACTTCGCGCTCATCAAGATCATCCCCAGCCAGGTCACAGCCCGCACTGCGCCCCCCTCCTTACATACCACACTGCCACACCACGCGCTACCGCTTCGCGCTCATCAAGATCATCCCCAGCCAGGTCACAGCCCGCACTGCGCCCCCCTACTTACATACCACACTGCCACACCACGCGCTACTACTTCGCGCTCATCAAGATCATCCCCAGCCAGGTCACAGCCCGCACTGCGCCCCCCTCCTTACATACCACACTGCCACACCACGCGCTACTACTTCGCGCTCATCAAGATCATCCCCAGCCAGGTCACAGCCCGCACTGCGCCCCCCTCCTTACATACCACACTGCCACACCACGCGCTACTACTTCGCGCTCATCAAGATCATCCCCAGCCAGGTCACAGCCCGCACTGCGCCCCCCTCCTTACATACCACACTGCCACACCACGCGCTACTACTTCGCGCTCATCAAGATCATCCCCAGCCAGGTCACAGCCCGCACTGCGCCCCCCTCCTTACATACCACACTGCCACACCACGCGCTACTACTTCGCGCTCATCAAGATCATCCCCAGCCAGGTCACAGCCCGCACTGCGCCCCCCTCCTTACATACCACACTGCCACACCACGCGCTACTACTTCGCGCTCATCAAGATCATCCCCAGCCAGGTCACAGCCCGCACTGCACCCCCCTCCTTACATACCACACTGCCACACCACGCGCTACTACTTCGCGCTCATCAAGATCATCCCCAGCCAGGTCACAGCCCGCACTGCGCCCCCCTCCTTACATACCACACTGCCACACCACGCGCTACTACTTCGCGCTCATCAAGATCATCCCCAGCCAGGTCACAGCCCGCACTGCGCCCCCCTCCTTACATACCACACTGCCACACCACGCGCTACTACTTCGCGCTCATCAAGATCATCCCCAGCCAGGTCACAGCCCGCACTGCGCCCCCCTCCTTACATACCACACTGCCACACCACGCGCTACTACTTCGCGCTCATCAAGATCATCCCCAGCCAGGTCACAGCCCGCACTGCACCCCCCTCCTTACATACCACACTGCCACACCACGCGCTACTACTTCGCGCTCATCAAGATTTCCCTTATTACCTATTGAAACAACACTGATAATCGTAATATAATTACATACTGTTAAATATATCTATATAATGGACAATGACAACAATCACACAAACCCGGACGTACCTAGGCTCGTGTTATTGCGAAATGAGCTCCAGCGCGATCTAGTGGCATAGTGGAAGAAGCGTGTGTCGCAAACGAGGGCCGGCCATGTTGTTAAGCGGTAACCCTTTTTTGAGGAGTGGCTAAAAAGACGCCATGGTGTTCTCTCGTTGTGATAAGAACTGTTGTGTTTTTCGAATGTTAGCTCAACATTGAATGTTTTCTTTTTATTTTACCACTGGCAGCGTTTGGCGTCCAAAAAGGTTAGATTTAAAGTTGATTTATAGTTTTTGACACTGCTACGTGTTTTACCGCTAGCGTAATGTGTTTATTTCAAAGTCAAGATTATGGGATACAGATACATCGCTAGCGTTTTTACAAATAATTACACGTAGGTACACACAAACACACACGTACACACAAATAATTACAAATACACGAAGGGTACAATTATTGCACCTGTCGTGGACGTGGACTTGGCTGTTGTACAAGTGTGTAGAGTACTCCAAATACATGTTCTGCGATGTAGATAGTGCGCAGAGTTATGTACAGCGGGGCTGAGGTGTGTGTGTGTGTGTGCACAGATCCGGCTGTCGATGTGCACGGCCAACAAGCTGGAGGGGTCGCTGAGCGCGCTGAAGCGGCGGCTGGGCCTGACGTTCATCAAGTTCGAGGACGCGGCCGTCGAGCTCGAGCCCTTCGTGCGCGCGCATGTCTTCGACACCGCCTCCTACCTCGGCAGGCAGATGCTGGCCCACTTCAAGGATGTAAGCGATATGCCCGCACTCCTATTAGTATTCATCCTTCAACTTACCATTTCGTAAATCGTACAGTTTGTTTTTAGAAAATATTTGGCACGATAAAAGATACGATAATACTCGCCATCGATCCGCAGGAGTTAAAGTGGCAAGCAGCTAAAATACTGGGCTCTGTGGATTTCCTGGGAAATCCTCTAGGCTTTGTGGCGGACGTGTCGGAAGGAGTCACCGGTCTACTCCTAGAGGGCAACGTAGGCGCATTACTTAAAAACGTCACCCACGGAATATCCAACTCTGCTGCTAAAGTTACAGGTATTATGAAATGTAATAATAAACCTTTAGAGACGCAACTTTATTATAGTCGGCTATAGTAACTGAGGTCTGCCCACAGAGTCCCTGGGCGACGGGCTGGAGCGCGTGGTGAGCGACGAGGCGCACGAGGAGACCCGGCGCCGCATCCGCTCCGCGGCCCCCTCGGGCCACCTCGCCGCCGGGTTCCGGGGGCTCGGCCTCGGCATACTCGGTACTGCACGCCGCTACCTGCTCTATTTATATCGCATTGAACATTGTTGTCACAATATTGTCCCGGTAATGTAGGAGGCATGACGTCGCTGGTGAAGCACAGCTACGAGGGGGCGACTCAGGAGGGGTTGGGCGGGTTCCTGGCGGGCGTGGGCAAGGGACTGGTGGGCACCGTCACCAAGCCGGTCATCGGAGTGCTGGACCTCGCCGCCGAGACTGCGTCAGCGCTGCGCGATACCAGCCGCAGGTGAGAGAAGCGACACAAACAGAATCATGTTTAGTTCACTCGGATGTGACAGTCGATGGTATGAAATAGGGTAAGATCACAGGAGAATAATAACTGTTGTTATAAAAAGTGGGCACATGTGTGATCTGAAGAGCGGAGTGTTGTACGTGCGGGTGGTGCGCAGGTCGGACAAGTGGGTCCCGGCGCGGGTGCGGGGCCCGCGCTGCGTGGCGGGCTGCGGGGGCCTGCTGCCGCGCTACTGCGAGGCGCAGGCGGCGGGCGCGGCGCTGCTGTACGCGCTGAACCACACGGACTACTCGGAGCGCTTCCTGGCCTACCGCGCCGTGCGCGACACGCCGCACGACATCCGCGCGCTGCTGTCGGACTGCTACGTGCGCATCATCACGTGCAAGCACGCGGCGCCGCAGGTGGTGCTGGAGACGCACCTGGCCAACCTGGTGTCGTGCTGCGTGCTGGCCGCCGACGGCGCGCACTTCGTGGAGCTGGGCGTGCGCGGCGCGGCGGGGGACGCGCTGCGGCGGCCGCGCGTGCAGTGCGACAGCCGCGAGCTGGCCGCGTGGGTGGCGCGCCACGCCGCCTACGCGCGCCAGCTCTACCACGAGCACGTGCACACGCTGCTGCCCGCAGACCTCTAGCCCTCCTTTATCCGCGCTCACTTCATCGATGACGACAATCTTCACTAGGAATACGAATTCCTTCTACGTTTCGATCATAAATAGACGTAGCTGGAGTCTCACTCTCCTTACGACTGATCTGACTGAACACGAAACGACCTCCCAGGACGTTAAACTGCGAGCGTATAAATATGAACATGTTTTATCGTATAAATGACATCAATAAGTATTCAGAAGTATTATTGTAAAAGACACCGCGACCTAACTTGATTAACGTTAGAATTATATTAATTTATGATACTCTTTTATAACTATGAATCTTGTTGTGATATTATGTCTACACTTACTCACACATGTATGCTTCAAACTGAACTACATCAAACCTAGCGATGATTAAATCTTGTGTACTTACTGCCCTCCGTGTCGATGACATCGGTGCAAATATTCAACTTCAACATGTCCCAAGCAATTATACCTTTCATAATTATTAATTTACCTAAACAGTATATGCAATCACTTCGCACCATATTTTGGAAGACAATTTTTAAAATTTTGTATACGATACTTAAAGTTTTAACTCAACTATTGACGCACCGAAACGATGCTGCTACTACAGTTCTCGAAGAATATGTACGGTGTCGCAGCAGTACCAGTGTTGTGAATATAGGTTACAATTTGTGGAAATATTATTTAGGAAGGCGATGTCGACGTCATTTGACGGCATTCCCTTATACAATGTCCAACTGATTAACTTCTCGTAGTGTGTATTCATTTCCTAATCGATAGTCTAGCAGCTACATCACACCAATATAGTTCTATTAAATATGTGTATGGAAGCGGACACCTTGTGATGAATGAAATTGATGTATTCTTGTATAGTGCGATGCGACTGAAACTCAATTTCACTGAGATGGAATAAGCTATGCTTGGCTCTTGTTGATATTTCTACGTGTGATTGTAATTCATGTTATGTCATGGTATCAATTGCTAAGTATGTGTGCCATCTTCTTAAAACGAATTAATTCCAGACATGAATAAGGTTTATTCCGCCTGAGTGATGTTGGCACTAGTCGTGGTACTGGCTATTTCGTGGCAAGCCATAAATTAACGTTGTTATGTGATTCTTGTATGGCTTGTGACGATACTTGGTTTATTAGTAAATAGTGTGAGGTAATCATTTTAACGTGTTTCTGCAGTGCGAGTGATCTTGCAGTAGCTGGGTCGATATGCGGTTGCAGTAAATATAATGATTTCAAAATGTACTGACTAGACTCTCGGGGCAAAACACGTTAAAAATAGTTCTCTAATGTAGTTGCATGTTACTTCAGATTGATATATTTTGTGTACGGAGTGAAAGTATAGGTCGATTGAGCAAAATTATCTTAGGCTGTGCGCCAGGCCTCGGAAGTAGGCAACACGTTATATTTGTATACATTCCATTGCAAGTTCCTTCACATGTAGATATTCCATAACTATCAGAAACACAGCAATGTAATGACAGCGTGCCAATCGGTACGTGATGTGTTGCGTGTCCCAGTCAGGTGTTGCCAATTTCTCTGTGAAGTGGCCGGTCTAATAGGTGTCGTGGAGGGAAGACATTGTTAGAAATCAAACTTTTGTTACACTAGGCCCTCGTTTCGATAAAAAAATTATGCGATGAATGAGAAAGTAAAATAGTGATATTTTTTAAATCAATGTTAACTGGCAGTTATATGAACGTGCTTTAAAATTGTTGCAAACGAGATTTTTGAAAGAGAAGTTAGAATATGTAGGCCGACAAAAAGTATATGAATTGGTTTTATCTGAAGGTGGAAATGACAAGAACATGCTTGTTTTCGTGGTATCTTGTTTTTGTGTTATTTTAAGTATGTATGTAGGGTGTCAGTTAGTTACTGTTCAGTACGATATAAGTCAGTAGTTATTTTCACATGATCCGATTAATTGCAGCAAAAGTTCATCTTTTAATGATCGGAAATGCGCATTTTATTTAGTCGAATTAAATAATTAGTGCAATATCCTTCTAATTTATGTACATTAAATGCAAAATTTATAATAATTGCTCAGGCATCGACTTCATGACGCCCCATTATTTGACTTATTGTTTAGCAGAGTAAATAGGGGGAGCTTATTTTGTTAGTTATTAGTTTAGTTATCACAACATTACCAAAGTGCGGCTAACAGTAAGTGGACGATTTTTCTGTTCGTTTTATTTATTTATTACCAATTAATATTATGACAGTGATAAAAGTTGACACTAATTAATAACATCTGTTGTGGTTTAGTTTCATCAAAATAAATACATTGAATTCTTTGTACATTTGTGTTTTATTTATTCTGGATTATGCACCAACATAAAGTTGCGGCACCATAGTGTACGCGTGGCAGTTTTTCACTAAGTAACCAAAATAAACAGTTGTACAATACAGGCAGATGTTGTTCTGTTGATCCTACTACTTACAAATAATATAAATGTGTACGTTTGTTTGTTAGTTATTCTTTCACGCAAAAATGGCTGACCGATTTGGTATGTAGATAGGTGATACCCTGGATCAAAACATAAGTATTTTTCCAACATACCACGCGTTGTGGGCTAACGGACGGAAGCTACTATTTCATAAAAAGGCATCTAGATTCACTGAAGGATTGAAGGACAATTTAAATTAGCCGTTGCAAAATTGCCTATTTATAGGATTTTTTGAAATAAATGCTTTGACTACAATATAGCGTGGCTGAAAAGGCTCATAAGGCAAGTGACTCAATTTAATTATAATTTCCTGTTCTAATCAAGGATTCTAGTAGGTGCGAATACTTGTGACTTGTGACACGTTTCAAGGAAATGCTTTAGTAGTACCTGCGGCTAGCTATCATAATCACAACAGTTTGCTTATCACAACAATAAGATGTTTGATGACCTTGATCCGCTAATTAAACTGGAAGCTCTCGAACAATGATAAAGCGCACTCGGCAGATAGCGCAATCTCAGCGCCGCTCTCACGCGGACCGCGCGCCAGTCGCACGCCGCCGGCCGCCAGTAGCGCGCCACTCTCGGAGGTCGCGGAGGTCACTGCCCACCTACAGACCTACACTTCGTCCTCCACGCTACGCACCAACGTACGTACCCATATAGTTGTACACACGTATAGCTGCTAGGTTAGCACGCGCCATGCATTCACACACATTGTTGACGTGTGTATTTGTTGTGGCGGTGAACGCGGCGACCTTGAACGCGCCGAGGTGAGTGAAAAGCAATTCTCGTATCTACTTACTACTACCAACTTTAATGAATACACTTGGCACCAAGGAATAAAACTTAACAATTTGATGTGGTTGTGGAGGCAAATATAAGCTACTTCGTAACATCATTGTACCCGAACTGTTTGTTATCTGTAGGTAGTTACCTACTTAAAGTAGGTAAGTATAAGTATGTAGTATGTAATTATTTGATGAATTGCACCTGCAAATTCTTCATATTATTAGACATATCCACCCGATGTTTATAACTGTAATGGATTATGGAGGCTTTTGTAACTGGTTAATTATAAATTAAAATGTGATTGATCTCTGCTAATCACAAATAGTTGCAAAGTAAGACACGTAAAAAACGATTGTCACTTTCGTTACTGAATTAAATACTAAACGAGATACTAAGTGATAAAACCAAACGTTATATATTGATGGCGATGAAAGCTAATTAATTAATGGATATTCCAGCATGACGTCGGTCGACTACACTAAGGTTCCCATAAAGGAGAAGCCTTTATTCCAGCCGCCGCTACAGGAGATCGCGGATGGTGAGTTGGTCAAAACCAACTTTTATCTTGTTTATTGATGGATGAAATTTTATTCATTAAACCTTTTAAAAGCATTATGCTGCTGTGGTTCATTCAAACCACTTGTTCTCACAAGTAGGGGCGCCTTTTGACTAAACATGTTTGGTGTCCCATAGTGCTGTCCGTGGGGCTGACCAGCACGTTCGAGACAGTCAGCGTGTCGGTAGCCGACACTCCGGACCTCACTCAGTCGCCGTACAACCTCATAACACCAGGTATTACAATAACGTATAAATCATGCAATGATAATTATCGCCAATTAACGAATGTAATAGGTAATTATTACAATTGTAAAGGTGACTACACTTGAAACTACGAAATAAATTACTGAATGAAGAAAAAATTTCGAATACTATTTTCACAATTTTATAAGCTATGTAACTGAATGGACTATGTGTCATAAAACGTTATTTGGCATCTACCTATACCTACTTATATAATGGTGGTAAAACACAAATAGTGTGTATTGGCGCTAATGTTATATAATTACATAATATTGACCTATTAATATTGTTTTTCCAAGTCTCAGCTCATATCACAAGTAAATACAAGATAACTGAGACAATAATTTGTTATCTATCTGATGAGTTGACTTCTGAATATTAAGTCGCTTCAGCTCAGATATAAACTTAACCGAAATATTGAACCAAATACAAAATACGAAATTAGAGATAGCAACTTAGTTTTGCTCATAGTCAAAAGTAGTAATATTACTTCTCTATACCTGAGAGATCTCATCATCATCTAGGTCTGACGGGCAATGCCAAGCTCGTGGAGATCGGTGGTCCGCCATACTTGTTACCGCTAGTGCAGCGTAACAAGGTGTACGACCTGGCGGCACTCGCGCGGCACTTAAACAGCGACCCCGCGCTGCTGGCCGGCGCAGGCGCAGGGCCCTGGCCGCACATCGGAGTCAACTGCGAGGTTTGAAGGATATTCTAACGTTTTATGTTGTAAATTAATGTTTGGTTTTCGCTACAATTTTAAATTTTCTAGGGAATTATAAACTTGAGCATCCGCAACGGTTCCGTAGAGCAAGGTACTCGCATAGTGTCAATAGAACCAGTGGGGGCAGCCAAGGGTAAGAGCGGCTATCTGCAGCGACGGCTTCCTAATACGGAGACCAGAACAGCTCTGCTGGGGAACTATTTGCTCAGCGAAGGAAAGCCAGGCAAGGTTTGTATACCTCAGTCGTAAGACAGTTCATTTGGTCGGATTTTGTTCCGATTTGCAGTGATTTGTTTTCTTTGTGCGATTTCAGGTAATAAAAGTAGTCGCAAAGAAACGGATTGGGCCATCAAACTTCATTACGGCTATCAGAGAGACTCTCAAAAATCACTATGGTGATGATAAAATTGTGGGTTAGTAAGAAATGCTTAATCATATAATTGATTTTTTATTGGAGAAATGCAAAGATATCGGCGCGGTCTATCATTTACGGTGACGGACCGTTCTGAAATCCTTATTCTGCATATTAATATACAGGGTCTTCCAGAACTCAACGTCAAGCCGAAACGGGGTGACAGGATTGATCATAACCATCACGAGAAAAATCTAAAAAAATCCATACCATGCAGTTTAAAAATTATGGGCATTTTAAGAAAAACCTAGAAATTAGATCACTGTACCATTTTTCGTTTACTGTGGTTATTCTTTTTTATTTTTGTTCATTTGAACTTTGGAAACGTAATCCTAAATAACATTTCTAGAATCCCAATAAAAAATAATGACACAATTGCCTCAAGTTTCCGAGAATTGAGACTATTTGTAAAACTACGAATTTAAAATTATCAAGATCCGTCGACTTTGACAGGCCCTTTAAAAAAATGTATTGCTATATACTTGCCAAGGCACTCTACCTTGGCAAGTGGTATTAAAAGTTGGCGCATTTAATCAGAATTCTAAAATGGTACAATACTTGTTAGTTCCATACAATAAAAAAGAGTAAAAAAATTAAAACCTCAAGCCTCGATTTTTGCTATCGCAATTAGAATGTTTTTGGTTCGCACAAGCTCTAGGTAGGTTCTTAATTTTAAGGCAAAATGATGAGAGAGATGGATAGTGGGTATGTTTGCCATGAGTGAGCGAGACAGATAGTGACGCCACTTTTACCAAACTGAAAAAAGTTAGTAAAATAATGAAAAATCTTGATTTAGTTTAATTAAGGTTTGTTGGAATAAAAGTTAGATAGAGAAATAACATTTTTTATTACAATAAATGTTCAAATTGTTTACCATCAGCCTCAATACAAGCCCTACATCTTCTTAAAAAAGATCTACTTATTAGTCGGGCATATCTTCGAGAGTTGATCTCCTCAGCTGCTTGAGAAATGCGTTCACGCATGTCGGCTACGTTCTCAATGAGCTTTGAGTAAACTTTTTCTTTGAGAACTCCCCAACAAAAAAAATCCATGGGATTCAAATCTAGTGAACGGGCGGGCCACGAGATAGTGCCTGAACGTAGATTTTCTTGACCAGGAATATCCGGGAAGGTGGATTACCTTCTCGGATATTACTGGTCAAGAAAATATCTTACTTGCACTGCGAAATGCGCTGGGCAGCCATCTTGTTGAAACCACATGTCGCGAAGATCTGCTAGTGGTACGCCCTCTAACAGGGTTGGTAAATCTTCTCCTAAAACATGTAGGTAATTACTTCCATTCAAGTTAAATCCAATAATTTTACCGTTTAAAATCCCGGTCCACAGGTTTACTTTAAAACGATACTGGGATCTATCTTCTCGCATCAAATGTGGATTCTCCGCATGCCACTCATGATAATTGTGCAAGTTTATGTAACCATCCTTTTTAAATGTCGATTCATCTGACCAGATAATTTTTTGGATGCATTGGGGAATTTCATTTCATCAAAAGGAATCCTTTCCTGATAATCTCGAGGTAGAAGACTTTGAAGTCGTTGTACGTGAAACGGATGCATTTCGGCCCTCTGTAAAATACGATGAGCAGTGCTTTTGGGTATTCCCGTTCTTTGTTCAATTCCATGTATAGAAATACTAGGATAGGAATAGGATTACGTTTCCAAAGTTCAAATGAACAAAAATAATAACCACAGTAACCGAAACATGTTACAGTTTGATCAAATTTCTAGGTTTTTCTTAAAATGCCCATAATTTTTAAACTGCATGGTATAGATTTTTTTTCAGATTTTTCTCGTGATGGTTATGTTCAATCCTGTCACCCCGTTTCGGCTTGACGTTGAGTTTTGGGACACTCTGTATAAGCAGATAAATTTTCAAAGCAAAGTAAAATAATTATTATATACGAGTCTCCCTCACCAGGTCTCGGAGGCATGTTTATGCTTCGCTCCGGCAAGGTAAAGTTCCACGTGATGCCCGACTTCTCCAGCAGTGCGCTGTGCACGGACGCGGACGTGGACAACTGGCTGCACTTCTTCGAGATGCGCGCGCCCATCACTCACGTCGGCACGCTCGTCACTGGAGACCATGTCAGTTAACTTCAACTGTTTTTCTCGCACCGGCCGGCAACAAGCATTCGGGTAGCCTGGTGGTAACCAATCTGTGCATGTGGTGGAAACCGCAAAACGACAAGAGCTTTGCCGGCCTTTTAAAAATATTACTTCAATTCACACTTGTTATGTATCAGACGTTCATGCTGGATGTTTAATGTTGTCCAGGGACTGGACCTCCGCGTGCAGCACTTCCACGGGTTCAGCGAGCATGGTGATGGTGGACACTACCACTATGACACCACGCCTGACGATGTTCACTACGAGGGGTACTTCACACTCGCATCATCCATCATCCGCGTAGACGCGCCGGAGGAGACGCACGCAGTAGGGCGTGACTAGACCAAAATATTATTAAGTTATACACTATGAACAAAGCGGCGATTGTAAGAAATATGGACAAAAGGGATTTTGCAAATATATTTTTTAATTAGTTAAATTCCAGAATATGGATGCCCATTTAAATGAAATGTTCTTAACACGCATTTTTACCGTTAATATTCCTATTTATGAAAATAGTATATTTTATTAATCCTATTCACTTGTATCACTTCTAACGTAATAATATTAAGTTAACAACAAAAATATTATGTTCAAATGTGTGCCTAAAACAACACATTATTTAAGCGCTTGATTTCAATTTAGTAAAAGCTTGTGTGTGTGCAAAGTATATATAATATTTTTTTTACTCTTATATATATCTTGTAAGAGTGCGTCCTATCCACTGGTTCAACGATTTCCAACCCACAATATAATACTAGAATTTTTCGTACTATTTTATCGAGTCCTTTTTTTGTCAGGGGAAAATCATGGTTATGGCCGGAGAGAGTCTAACTCTTATTGATTAAAAACCCCCCGTTTCTTCTCCTGTTCTGGGCCGAGGCCGTGGTGCCTCATTGCGCTTGCCCCGCAACCCTGGCTGAACATCAGCCCTATAGGGCCCCGTCTGTGGTATATTGGCTCTTGTGCTCGTACGCTCGGTTCTGGTCGGGTGGCGAGTTACCCTGACTCGCCGTACGCAGACCCGCGCTTACGATGGCCGGAGATCGTATCTCGATCCCCGACGCCCGGAGTGTCGACTACTGCGGCGGCTGGGGCGTGAGGAGGAGCTTCCTTCACGCGGTCCGCCTCCTTCTTTGCGACCATAACTGCTTCACAGAAAGAGGAGAGGCCGGGCGCGAGAGCTCGCCGCCGCCGATAACTTCCATAAGGACACGGCGGTGCTCAGCTCAAGCAGGGCACATCGCCACCGTATGCTCCACCGTGTCCTCCAGGCGATCCTCCGGGCGTTTCCTCCCGCTGGATCCCAAACAGGAACCTACCAAAGCTGCCGTGCCCGGTAAGCACCTGCGTCAGGCGGAAGGTGAGGACGCCGTGGCGTCTCTCAAGCCACTTCTCAAAGTGGGGTCTTACCGCTGCTATAACAACGTGCCCGATTTTAGAGTCCTTGATTTTTAATATAGGTTTGATGTAATTTCGTTACAATTATTGATTTTCGTTTAATTAAATCATAATACTAGGGAAGACAAGAAAAAAATAGAGGTGGTAGCGGTAGGTACAAAATCATACTATAGTTTTATTGCGCAATGCACTCACGTGGTGACACACTCCAATTCCTATGGAGGCTAGCACAATATGGATAGGGAAAACTAATCCAATTCTGTACCTGTCTCAGTATGGAGATAAAGGGAACCTTAGGGTATAGTTATGGGTATCGGTAATAAAATGACAATAAAGGCTTTACCGTGTATTCAACTTATCTATGTGGTACAATTTTATTGAAAATACTCATATTTACACGGAACTTTGTTTACCTCAGTAGGTATTTTATTAAAGTCTCATAGTACGGTACAAAACCTGCCATGGTACAATATAAGTATCTATGTGTTTTAGGGAAATAGGCTGTACAGATTATAAGCAAGAGAGGATAAACCACACAGAACACATCACTGAATCTCGGACCACGTCATGTTCGGAGACTACTATTTCTAAACCAAGGGAAGTGTCGTTTGTAGTGATAAAGAAAGCTATTTACACAAAGACAACATTCTTAAACCAAGTGCTATACCCTGTAATTAATTACGAACTTTAATTTAAGCAAGTTCACAACCAGATATATCGAATTCAATTCATTAAAGTACATGATATTATTACAGAGTTAATAAACGGGTTTAAACCTTAATGGTTATTGGTTGCTATTTGAATTTGCAGGAGTCCCGACGCATCACTGTGGTACAAGCTCTAATTTTGTACCTTTATTGACAAATGTCGTACCATACGTATGAAGACTGTCATCATAGTCAGTGGGATAACATTTTCAGAGACTGTCTCTCTTCAATTACAAAAATAAAGTACATGTACTTCGTATATTATATATACATATACACACGAGTGGAGCTGGCGACTCGACTCGATATATCATATAGCAGGAACTAGCGCGAGTGCCAGAATACATGTCTGCGTTACACATTATCATTGGCGAAGGCGCAATAATATAAACGTCGTAAGGCGAGGTGGAAATATATTGACAACGAGTATTTCATGCAGCTATGGGAACGTTTTATTGATACCTAAATGGCGCTGATTTATAGTACATGTACTTAAATAATACAACGAAACCTAAACAATACCTACATGGAACTGTCATACAGATACATCGTCAACGAGTCGGATCCAGTACAATGTGACTAAACCTTTTAGGCAATTTACAACATTTTAGTTAAATACTAAATTATAAAAAACAATATTATTGAATAAAATATTAAATATGAATAATGATATAGAGCGTTTCGTCGTCTGACCGATATTGTCCGACGTAATACGCGAATATCAGTAAGTATATACAACATGATGCATGTTACATTGCTCGGCTTTGGATCACGAGCATGCCTCACTGCAGGAATCACCCGAAGCACTACACAGCCCGCGTTGCCAATCTCACTAACAACAATTTTAATTTATTATACATAAACTAAACAGTGCTTGACTATAGTTTGCAGGTCCCACTCTGTGTCTGAACTTAACAGTTTGGCTCGACCGATGGATTGGTCAGATAACGATGTTGTAAGCTACCTGTCCCCATGGTTACTTGCCTAATAAAGTCTGATTATCGGTCGATTACACATGTGCCAACTAAAGTCAAGTTCTGTATAAACAATTTTGAGCTAATTCTAACCAATTTCATATTTTTTACACCTAACTACAGCTGCGAATACCCAATAAGTGATAAATAGCTTCCGAAGCGAGTTTTGACTTATTGTCTGAACAGTCTGCCCTGGTAGCTCAGGAAGTTGCGATGGACTACTGTAGGAAATACAAAATAATACAACATTTTCACAACTGAGGAGGAGTGTCTGTGGATTATGTAACTATGAATACATTCAGACTTTTATATATCATCATTTCGTGGATGATCGCTGATCGCAGGATGCGACACGTCATCCCGTGTCTAAGCCGTACTGCAGTACGTTCGTTGCAGAACTGTTCTTCGGTAATATTTTTTTTTTTTTTTGAGCCATTATATCAATTGTAAACCAAGGATCACAGCACGATCGATTGTGTTACAGCTACAACGGCGCAGAGCGACAGTATTTAAATATACATAACAACAGTTTACATTGGTAGAAAACTGGTAAAAATATATAACAGTTACAATATTTACAAGATCAGTTCTGTACTCTTGGCATAGCGAGCGTCGAGCGGCGCGGCAGCCTGCGCCGGCGCACCGTGGACACGTCTATGGCTCGTCTCATTGGTCGGCGCCCTACTCACTTGGGGCGGGGCAACGTTACATTACACATTGTCGTACTAACTACAACAGTTGATCGTAGCGACACTCAATCTAACACTAGTTAGCGCTAGTTTCGGTTTACAACGAAGCACCATTTATTGTTCTTCGCTATCGCTATGTGGTTCCTACACCTACATGATGTCGGAAATTTTACAGCAAGCATTTATGGTGATTTCTTATTGTAGATTACGACCGTGGCTACTTTACGGTTACGAGATAACATTAATGATTTCATGGAAGGATAATTGAAAAGTGTGTACTGTGTACGGGAGGAGCAGTCAAGGCACTCAGGAGCGGAAGAAGCGCACGGCGCGCACGACGTACTGGCGGCAGATGGGGCACTCGGCCAGCTGCTTGGCGCAGGCCGTGCAGGCCGCGATGTGGCCACACTCCAGCAGCACGCACTCCAGCGGCGCCGCCATGCAGATCTTGCAGCACTCCTCCGCCGGCAGCGCCTCCACGTCTGCAACACGCGCACGCTCACTCCGGCTCTACCTCACCCTCCCACGCCCGCCACGTCTCGCCCACTCACCGTCGCAGTACTGCGCGTGGTTTCTCCACAGCGTCTTGGCGCGCTCCAGCAGCTCCTTCCTCTCGAGGCAGCCGCGGTACTCCACGCGGTTCCGCACCAACAGCTCCTTTAGCTGCTTAACGCTGAGTACGTCCAGGTCCGACGGCTGCTTGAATTGATCTAGACTTATGTGTTTAGGTGTACCTGCCCCGAATCATATAATGTTACTTTTCAAAAACATTAAGGGTGTTTTATATGGAATAAAAATAGCTTTAGGTTTACATTAAACATTGGATTGAAAAACAAAAAATCCAAAAGAGATACGAATGTACTAGTTAATTGTGTGGTGATTAGTAGATACATAGACGGGATTGAAGTGTAGCTGTAATGGAGAGCGGATACCGTGGTCGCTGCGCGAGTCCTGGTCGAGGAGCGGCGCGTCGTGCAGACTGACGGAGTCGGGCGCGCGCGGCGCCGGCGCCCGCAGCTCTAGCTCGGACGCGGCGCGCTCCACCACTCGCTCCGTACTTGGCTCCGCTCCCCGGCCGACCGGTCGCTCCGTACTTGGCTCCGCTCCCCGGCCGACCGGTCGCTCCGTACTTGGCTCCGCTCCCCATCCGGCTGGTCGCTCTGTATTTGGCTCTGCTCTTCGTTCGGATGCTCGCTCCGTCCTCCGCTCGGACACTCGTTCTCCCGGTCGCTCCGCTTCCCGGTCCCCCGCACTAGTGCGTCGCTGGAAGCTGGCCGACGTACTCAGCAACACCTCTGAGTCTGGTTACACATTAATATTATCAGTTTTTTTTAAATAGCCTGTTTAGCTAATATTATGATTTTATATAAGACTAGCTACTCTCGCGCGGTTTCACCCGCTGCTCAGCTCTATTTTATCGTAGCGTGATGTTTTATAGCACTCAAGAACATTGTAGCTATATATCAGTGAAAGAACTTTGGCAATCCGATCAGCGGTTCAAAAGATTACCCCCTACATACAAAGTTACAAATTTTATCTCTTTATAATATTAGTATAGATATTGGGAAAAAAGAAACATAAAAAGTACCGTTTGGCAAGGGGTCAGCGGGTCTGTTGACAAATTCCCAGCCAGTGTCGTCCAGGTCTTCAATCTCGAAGCAGTCGGCGGTATCGACGCGTGCGCTCTCCGCTGACACGCTGCTAGAAACTGATGACTCCGGCACAGGCACACGAATGTCTGGCTCCCCACCTGCATGAAATATTTTTTATTTCTTAGATACATAATATAGCTAAATTTTGTTTACTTAGATTGTATGCAAACTAATTTATTTTAATCACAGTCAATTGATCAAATAACAATGGGGAATAATTACAATTGGGGTATGCTTAAATAGTAAATGTTGTATACATAGTATGTAGAGTAACAAGTACCTGGTGTAGTTGTAAATCGTTCTCCTTGTGGCCTCTGGCAGTTGGAAGGAACTCCACCACTTACATTATTGTGCACATGAGCAGAGTTGAAGCAATTGCCTGCAATATTCATACACTTCATTGTAGTTATTATGTAATGATCAACAATTTCTTGGTTTAATTAAATAATAAATTAATATGGCGGAATACACTGCTAAAATTCATATACATGCTACTCTAATACTTAACAATAAACCAGCTTGCTGGTACATACATAAGGGATTTTTTTTATCCAATTTTTTTTACATAATGCTTTGAAGATTTGTTTTTCAGCTGAGCATCTGTCATCAGATCTACACAAGACTAACTAGAGGTCCATATTTACAAACCTAATATTTTTTATCTCATAGGGCAATTTTTAAGAGGAAGTGAGCATATTTTGGTAATAACCCAGCATTTTTCGATAAACTGAATAATATTTCAACAATCAACAATCAATATAAGTTCGAGAGTAATATCCTGCCAGGTTAGAGTGAGCAATCAAAACATAATTTCTGAAGCAGCAGATAACATTTATATCTATAATCATTATATCATTTCAGATAATATTTTGTTCTAGAATTTCTTGCATGAGTCACCTGAGTCATATTTGTACATTATTTGATAATCAAATCACTAAATGCGAAGACACAAAAATATTGTGCCATGAATGGAATGTTCTCTCACCAACATAAAAAAACATTGGGTAAAAGTATTAATGGATAAAGTCTATCTGTTGAATCACTTGTTCTTTTTTAATAGTAATTTAAGTAATGTATTAAATCCTTGTACAAAATTAAATGTATGTATCTATCACATCTACCTTTATATAGATTTGTGAAAAGTGTGAGAAGGTTGTAGAATTCTTATTTTTCAGACACACAATGCAATGAACATAAAGTAAAGTAAGATATTTAACTAACTGGCACATCCTCTGGCAGCAGGCTGTGCTGGTGGCTGCGGGTTGTTGCGGATGTCAAAGGCTGAGTTGAGGAAGTCATTGATGTTACTTGTAAATCCCTTCAGCGAGCTGAAGGGACTGGCTCCTGAGGTGCGTGAGCCCCGGCGTCTGTATGCAGTGCTGTTTACGTGTGACACACACAAGTTCAGCAACTCCTCCTTTTCTGCACATTTACATGTAATTAGGACAAATCTATCATTAATACAAATTGCAGTTTGAAATATCTACATAGCCTTACACTTAATAACATAGGATTGATTAAGTTTCTAATCACTGTAGAGTATTCCTAATACTTGTGACAATTTCTACTTTTAATGATAAGTAAGCACTTTACATAGTTTGTCAAAGTCAGTTTTTATAGAATGCCTATTTTTATTAATACCTATTGATCCTACTCTATAGCACTGAACATATATCTAACCACTTAGGCTTGGTTGAAAATGATCAACCTAGTCTACAAGATCAGTGAGTATTGTTAGGGTTAGCCACTAATACTATCAACGACTAGGGTAGAAGGAAACTTTAATGACTGCGAGTTCTTATTGGGTTTGTTGTTATCAGTATATTTTTGTGTCTCTAGACTTCAACTAGTTAAAATAACAGGGTTCCCAGCAAGACATACCAACGCAGCCCCTGGTGGAGACATTCTGTCGTTGTAAGAAGCACTGCACGTCGCGCACTTTCAAATGAGCTATAGCCTGCTTGGTAAGCGGACGGGTGGAGAGGACCCGGCACGGCGCGCACATTGCGCCGCCTCCACGCCGCAAGCAGCTGCTGCAGTAGAACCTCTCGCACTCGCTGCATGCTCGCTTACGCTTGAACATGCTGAACTGCACCGCACAGCTTTCGCAAGGCATCTTACAGCACCCGCGTCCCTCCACTACCATCTACCATATTCTGCGCCACACACTCTACTGCTGCAATTGCGTCACGTACACATCACACAGTCACAGTGCTACTGTTGGAATTACTATTTTTTTGTTACAAAGATAAATAAACATTTGATATTTTTATAACATACTATTTATGTAAAAAATCAAAACATATGAATGACACACCTGCCATCATGAAATCGACGTTCCAATATACGCAAACGCAGCGTAGAATTTGATTAGACTTCCAACATAATAAATACGTATCACTTCGTTTATTATTAATAAACTAATATTTTTTTAAGAAATGCATGAGTTTAATAATTGCAACATATTTTTCAAAAGTCATAATTAGTTACTTAATTCATATAGTGGTTTTTTATCGAAAGAAGTTTGTATTTATCATGCTTATAAAGGATCATTGACATTTTGTTTTTTACGTTATTTTTCATGACGCAGATGAAAGATTATAGAGCCTGAAACACGTACTATATAGATACACATAAAACTGTAAGAATTCTCAGTTCAACTTGATAACATTATTTTAGCAATATAATAAAACTATTGAGTTATTATTATGTAAATATTTATTATTATGTAAATTTAATTATTTAATTCAACATGAATTGTAATATAAGACGTCAAGTAAAAAACTCAAATGTATTTTAGTTACTGGGCAATGAACATAACGTACATATGTAAAAGCAATTAGAATCAAAAACAAAACAAGCAGATAATAAAGTTGTGGTTGTTGTACTACAATAAAAGCTGTCGTGGTGGCCTAAGTTAGGTACTTTAAGATGTTGAAACACAGCTGCCTCTCCTGTTGCCTTATTTTGCTGTGCCCTATAGGGTCCATAATTGATCTCATACAAGTTGTTACCAACTTTACATGTGCTTATGGTAAAGCAATAAAGATATTGAGTATTGGACGTTGGCGCCTGCTTCTCATGCAGCATGCATGATGGTGCGGGTTTGAAACCTGGCAAGTACCAATGTGACTTTTTCTAAGTATATGTACTACTTTCAAAGATTATTTCGAAACCACTACCATATGGTAAACATCGTGAGAAAACCTGGTCTATAAATCGCCCATCCGACTTGAACAAGCGTGGTGATTGATGATGATGGTTGTAACGCGTTTGTTTCAGGCGTTGGAATTTACATGAGCAAATTACTTAACTCACACAGCGACACACCTACTGACCGACAGACTGTAACTTTTTATTTAGTTTCATGTTCAAAAGATAAAAGATTTGAGTTTGATTTTGAATTTGGCTTTGGAAGAACTTAATAATGAAAAATAGGTGTCATAAGTACCATCTAAGCACACATTTGCTAACAATAGAGTGTAATGAATTCGTTTATTTTTGATACCGGAAATATTAACGCTAATAATTTAGTTTTTACACGAGGTAAATGTTACTAACGTATCTAGGTATTAAAAAATAATGGAATTAATTATTTCCCTAAATTTCATGTTTTTGTCATTATAGATGGTAAAGAAATTTTGGGGCCGCCTACTATATTAGTTAGACAGTACCTTGATGTGCAAAATTATATTCATAATTTAAAAAAATATATTTAAACTTTAAATATATATAGGTGTGATCACATCTACCAATTATTATAAGAAGATAAGTAGTAGGCACTCATATAATAAGCGTAGGGAAAGTGTTGTATCACTTTTGGTACAAACATTAAAAGGAATAAGTAAAGTGCGCCACAGAGAGACGAGGCGCAGGCGAGGCCTAATGTGTAGGTAGAGTTCGCCATTCGCAGCTAAAACGTGTGAATGTGAAAGAAACACGAGTGCACCGAGACTGAGCTTGGTTTTGCTACTGTATCTACTACCTACATATTTCCACGAGTTTCACGACGAAATTGTGAGCTGATTTGTTTTTCCAAAATAATAATGATTTAACGAGGATATCTATGACGACGGTTAGCGATCTGCCGAGCTGATGGCTGAATAAAATTGGCGATTACTTGAAATTTGAAGATTTGGGAGTATGGGGATATTTGGAGGGGAATTGGATCTCCGGTATTTAGTTATTGATTTGATCCAAGGATAATTTCGGCGGCGGCCGGTCAATTTATGCCGATGTATGTTTGTTTCTATATTTCTAAGGCAATATTTTCAACTCGAATTTTGCTTATCATTTTTTTTGAGTGTGTTCTGTAGTCTAGAATTAATAAAATTGCAAAGAGAGCGAGCACTTTACTAAACTAAACAAAAAATAAAATTAATTCGTTAACAAATTTGATTTTATTGGGACTAGATGATTAGTATAAATTGAAAATATTTTAGGTTCACACTTAGGAAGTTAATAAACAAATCTATTTGACTACATTTAGCAGTTTGGTAACCCTGTCAGTGGAGTGCACGCTTTGTGTAGTGTGAAACAAATGCATCGGCGAGTGCGCTCGGCGATTCGGTGACTGTTGACTGGATACTTGACTGGGTACAGCGAATGCATTGTAATGGGAGTTGTATATGATTGGGCAATCTGGACCACATTTTTCCTTTACAACACAGTCGCAGGCAAACTATAAAAGCTAAACTCATTGTACAATGGAGCGTACGTAGTAACTTATCGTCGATGTCAATAGATAACACTAAACACATGACATCGTTTACTTTTTCACGAAGGCAGTACGTTTTTATTCATTAATTTACGCTAACGTCAATACATTATAGCGTCAAGAAAGATATATAAGAAATATAAGATATGTGTATTATATAACCTAAATTGTATAATAAAGTAATTAATAATAGTAGGTACCTAATAGTACCTACCTAATAATACAATGATATCATTATAAAGAAGAAAAAGAAACAGAAATCAATACAGTTAATTGTTACTATGTATAATCAATTAATCATCAGCCATCCATCTTCTCACATTAGGCATTCCCGACATATACCGCCATGGCTGCCGAGCAAATTAGGGGTATTACCTACTGGCGCAGGCGCCTACATCAATAATGAACGCAATTTTTCACACCATTGTACAATTTACATATGTACATCAGTGCACGAATTTCTTTCTCCGCTATTATCGTAGAGATACCTAGATAAAGAAATTATTGAACTATTGTGGAGTAATAAGCTTGTAGCTACCTGTTTTTATTGGACGCGGTTGGTAAGACAACATTGTAGGTTTTAAACGGCATGTCGCTACATTACAATCTTTTATATTATCAATAATTATACATGTCTAGATGCTATGTAGGTAACATTAACCTCTTGTCTGCCGGTATATGACACACAATAGAAAACACATTGTGTCTCGCGTATATTGCGTTCCGGCACACCACGGGTTAAAGGTGTAGTAAAGCCAGCAGGTAACTCTGATTACTTACTTTATCAAAATTTAAGCTGATTTTTCAGCACATTGTGCTTTAAAGTGTTACAAATAGTCGTGAAAACGATATCACTATAATATAACAACAATGTTCATAAAATAAAAAGTATTTAACCAATTAGAAAATTATGATTGATATATAACTGGAGGCTCATCAATGAGAATCATGCTAATTGGTCCAAAAATCACGACGTAAACTGTAATATAAAAAAAAAATACCATTAAAATTTAGAACTTTATTCTCTTTTGTATAGTGACCTACATTGTCAGTCAGTGATGCGCGTGCGATTTATAAAGTAACATGCATTCACTTGTTTGTAGCAAATAAATAACATTGTTTTTACTCATACTTATCAAATTATACGTACATAGATTGTAATTTATAATTTCGCCACGCTCACCACAGCTGAGGTGTCCGAGTGGTTAAGGAGTTGGACTTGAAATCCAATGGGTTCTACCCGCGCAGGTTCGAATCCTGTCCTCAGCGATTCTTTTTGTTCATATATTTTATATGTCATGTTTTATTCATGTATGTTTTTTTAAAGGAATGAGTAAACTGATTAAATAAATAGTATTTGTTTTATTATTTTTAATTGTATGGTATAAAGATGGCCCAATTTTCTTGAGGGGGCGTTTTGAAGGGTACTTACTGAAATCTTTAAATTGTTGTATCTAAGTTTTGACTATTTAAATATCTATAATTTGATTACTGTGATAAAGTGTATATACAAACAATAATAAAATGTCTTCCTTATGAGGAGGTACCACGGAGTAAAAAAAAACTATTTCATATCGTCAGTTACAGAATTCTATAAAGTAAGCATTTAGATACCGTTATTATGTATAGATAATAATATTTGTTTATCAGTTCATGACGTTGTTTCACTCACATTAACCAACAAATTTGTATCTAAGTAAGATATTAGCTAGAAACATCCAAACTCCATCAATATTCTACACAAATATACTATAACTGGTCTAGAATATATTATACCTGATAGGTAGATATAAATATGTTTGTTAAGTTTCCTAGAAGTAATAAATCTATGTGTTGAGGTGAGTCAACTGTTCTGTGGAATTATTGTGTGGTAAGCGGCAGTATGTGGTCGGAGGCCGCAACTGTCTCATGTGTATCTACTCCATTATTTTTTAGGAAATCGACCCTCTGACGCCGGTACGGTCACCGGATATTTTACAGTCAACGTTGATTGAAAGATTAGTACATTATATTTAGATGCAACAGACACGATTCACTTCATTAAGAGAGTCGGACATAAGTTACTTGACATATCTACCTAATTCCTTTAAAATAAGGTTGGAGTGTGTACAACTCCGCCACCACAAGTTGGGTGCTTGTGAAGCTCCGCCGAGGCGCGAATCCACAAGCACAAGTAGGTACCTACATGGACTGAAACATTCTACAGACACAGTTAGTGTTGACAAGAAACGTCGTCAAGAAGCATTCCGCACACCACTAAAGTTTTCCTCGGTTGTTGACCTCACAAAACTGGAAATTGAGGAAAAGGAAACATACAGGTCGCTCACAGAGAAATGCAAAAATGTATTCTAATCCCTTGCCGTAAAAAACGTTTTCATACGAAAGTTAAGAAGTTGCCGTTGAGCATAGCTTGGGCTTTTCTAATCTGCACTATGGCGCTTCAATTTAAGGTTTATTTTTACTGAAACGTTGTCGCTTAGCAGGAAGTAGGTTAAGTACAAGTTATTTTTCACAGTTCTTCGCGAAACCGAAGTAGTGAGCGACCGGAGTCGCTGATTGAGACGGGGAATGAGTTTAGTACCTACATCTAATGTTCGGAATCAAATGATATTGTACTAGCTGAATATTGACCATTGTAGGTTGCCGCTTGCATGACTACAGTGGCATAATTAAATTATGGATAGATACTCCTACTTCAGCGTCTACACTATTTTGCTTTGCTCAGCACCTACTAGATGACACGAACGTATCTAGTACTTATAAAATTTTGATTTTTAGTCATAATTTTTAGTATAAATAAATGAGAATGGAATTATCATATTATTCATTACAAGTGTTGCAGATTAATAGGTATAATGGCGTCGTTATGGCTGAAAGAGGCTGCGTAGGTGTACGCACTAGTGCAGTGGCTATTTGTGGTGATTCAACGCGACCTCCATTCTGCGATAGCCGATACAGCGGTACAGTATTACTGCACACTAGACAAATGGA